TGGGGTTCGAATCCCATGCCCAGCATCCTGTCAGCCTCGTCCAGCACAACAAAAGACACGCGAGCGAGTGACGTTTTGCCCTGCTGCAGATGGTCTATGAATCACCCCGGCATCGCCAACACCACCTGCACGCCCTTTCAACTCTTCCCTCTACAACACAGCTCATGCAGGCACTGCTCACCTCCTTCATCTGGGGTTCGAATCCCATGTCCAGCATCCTGTCAGCCTCGTCCAGCACGACAAAAGACACGCGGGCGAGCGACGTGTTGCCCTGTTGGAGATGGTCGATGAATCGCCCCGGCGTCGCCACCACCACCTGCACGCCCCCTCGCAGCACCGACCGCTGCTCGCTCATGTGCGTGCCGCCCACTATGATGGCCGTCTTAAACCCATCTGATGACAGGCTGAACGCTTTCACCTGGGGTGAGGGGTTGGAGAAAGTGCAGCAAGAGGGGCAGGACGTGGGTATGGGGTGGTAAGTGTTGCCACCACCACCTGCACGCCGCCTCGCAGCACCGACCGCTGCTCACTCATGTGCGTGCCGCCCACTATGGTGGCCGTCTTAAACCCATTCGATGACAGGCTGAACGCTTTCACCTGGGGGTTGGGGTTTGGGATTTCAGGCTTTGCGGAAAGAGCAGGCAAAAGGATAGAGACGGCTTTCACTTGAAGTTTGGAAGGGGTGGAGTGTGTGCGCAAGTGCGTGGCAGAAGAGGCCCCGCAAGCTGCATCCTACATCACCTCAAACTACAATTTTTGAGGCGCCTCAAAAGGGGGGGAGTGTGTGCGCAAGTGGGTGGCAGAAGAGGCACCGCAAGCTGCATGATCCTACATCACCTCAAACTACGCCACTTGCATGCCTCTCGACTCGGGACGTGCCTCACCTCCTTCTCAATCTGCTGTGCCAGCTCGCGGGTGGGCGCCAGCACGAGCGCCAAAGGCCCATCGCCCGGCCGCAGAGGCGCTTGATGCAGGCAGTGCTGCGGGCGGGCGCGAGGGGGGAAGGGGTGGGGGGCAGAATGTTGTTGAGACGTCTAAGAAATCATCGCCCTGTTGCAGAGGGGGCGGAGATGCAGGCAGTGCTGCGGGCAGATGCGAGGGGGAGGAGAGAGGAGGGGGGGCGGGGGAGGAGACCAGGCGGTCCAATGCAGACGGGAAGGGGAGTTAAGAGGCATGCAGGAACCGGCGAGGGAGGGAAAAAAAGTCGAAGAATACTAATATAAATCTCCTACGAACAAGACAGCCAGAAACGAGAGGGCATTCAGGCACCTCTGTGGATTGAGGGTGCAGAGGAGGGAGAAGAAAGGAAGAGGCGGTGGCTGTTGAGTTGCCTCTACAGGCAGCTCAGGCAGCGTACCAGGATCACGGGGATGGCGAAGGCATGCGGACACATGGAATGGCAGGTGCGAGCGGCTCACTTGAATCATGGGGATGGCGAAGGCGGCGGTCTTGCCGCTGCCGGTTTCAGCACAGCCGAGAAGGTCGCGGTTGGAGAGCGCGATAGGCATGGCCTGCGCCTGGATGGGCGTGGGGTTGGTGTAGCTGTGGTACACGATGTCCTTTGAGATGTTCGGGTGCAGGCCCTGAAGTTGGTGGAGTTGGTGGGGGGGTTGGGGGAGGAGGGAAAGAGAGGAACGAAACGAGGAAGGCGGGATGTTGGTAAGATGGGACTGATGGGCGTGGGGTTGGTGTAGCTGTGGTACACTATGTCCTTTGAGATGGTCGGGTGCAAGGGAGAACATAAAAGTAATAAATGATAATAAAATAAACTCACCATGTCGTCAAACGACTCGACTGGAGCGGGAGCAACGCCCGTGCCAGGCGTGACCTCCACCGTCACGTTCAGCCGCGCGCGGACCTCGGCGATCTGTAGCAGGGAAATGGCAGTCAGTGTCATAAATTTTAAGGATGCAGAAACATTTAGAGCCAATCAGTACCATGCAGTGTGATAAGTGTCGATCAATGGCATCCGGTGTGAATCAATCTCATTAGGTGGCATTCAGAGTCAGTCAATGCCATTCAGTGTCAAACAATGCCATTCAGTATCAGTTGATGCGGGACACTCAGAGCCAGACGGTACCCATGCAGTGTCATTCAATGTCAGTCAATGCCATTCAGTTAATGCAATTCGGTAACATTCAGAACCAGACAGTGTCCGTGCAGTGTCATACAGTGTCAGTCCATGTCATTCAGTGTCAGTTAATGCAATTCGGTAACATTCAGAACCAGACAGTGTCCGTGCAGTGTCATTCAGTGTCAGTCAATGTCATACAGTGTCAGTCAATGTCATTCAGTGTCAGTCAGTGCCATTCAGTGTCAATGAAAGCCATCCTGCGTCATTCATTGTCGTTCAGCATTAGAAAAATGGTGTTCATACAGTGTCGGGATAATGCCAGATCAATAACAAACAATTACGTGGTAAAAGGTATATAGAGCAGAATTTCAGCACAAGAGGGTTACGATTGACACCAACAAGAGGTATGAATTTTCAGTCCATTCAAACGCGTAGACGTGGACGGACCACAGAAGACTGAAACTGCGAACCTACGAGATTCCGTGACTTACTGCTATATACGATAATGTCGCATGTCGCATTTCATGAAACATTGACACATCCTTCCAACTTGGCATCACGAGCATGATTGAGGAACATGAGTGACGTAACAAAAGAACGATGCCCGTAACGAGTTCGTATGGATGTAACCAGTAGTCTCCGTGTTTCGCGTTGAACAGAAGGAAGCGGACGACATATCATCAGGACATAGCAAGCGGTTACATGACTAATTTTCAGGACAACCAATCTGAAGGAATCAAATAGCAGACCTGATCTCCTTGCATGCGGATGACATATTGAACGGTCAGACGCCTTACATCCAGGACGCTCGTATCTGAAGAGATCAGAAGATACCCTAATCCGCTTGCAAACAATTCACATGGTCAGACGCTTCTATCCTGGTCCGTCTTTCCGTATAGGTTAGGAGCTACGGAATTATTGCAAGCAGACGACAACCTCAGACCGTGTATTATCCGGGACTGACATCTCTTAACGCCGAAACTGACATATCTTAACGCATCAGAAGCTAACCTGGTCTTCTTGCAAGCGGATCACGCGGTCCGACGGCTTCCATGCCGGGCAGACCGGCTCTGGAGGGCCGCTTCCCCGGGTCTCTACCGGCCGACGGCTGCTGCTGAAGCTGCTGCTGCCGCCGTCCCTGCTGCCGCCGTCCCTGCTCCCTCTGTCATCCCTATCCCTCCGATCGTCTCTATCTCGAGAGCCGTAGCTTCTAGAGCCGAAGCTGCCATAGTCGTTCCGATCGCCGTACCGGCCTGGGGGATCGGATCGGCCTCCTTGGGAGGATGACGGGGGGGCGGAACCTCCAGCCGATCCGCCCGCCGAGTTGCGTAAATGAGGTGGTACGTACGGCATTGCAGGATCGCTTACTAAGGCTAGGAACGTGAATTTAAAAAGGCTGGATCACGCAAAATGTCAGCTTGCGGAGCTGTGCGCTGGTCTGATGCGTCTACGCTGCGCACCGGCAGTTTGATCCTTACTTCTGCTGGTAAGGTTCTCTTGAAATATCTCAACGATGACAAGTCAGGAAATTCTGGGGGTTCCTAAAACTAGTCCAGTGACGCTCGTATTGACGACAAACCCAAGACCTTGAGTTAATGCTTTTTTTTGCTGAATCTGCTCTGTACACAGGCGCAGGAGTTGAGTCGCTCGCGCAAGCGGAAGGCGCAATGGAGCGGGTGTGAACTTAGTTCCCGCACACGAGCTTCCCGAAGGATCTCCGCTTTCTCCGCAAACGGCCTACTCCCGTCCCGTGGCGTGCAATTCCCAAGGGAAAGTTCCGCCAGGCACGCGCTTCCTCAATGAACACGGGCAGATCTATGTCATCCCCAAGCACGGGAGCCGCGGATTGGCTGATCGATAAGGGGAAAGGTGACGTGTCAGAAGTTGCGTTTGTGTACTAGAACATAACAATATGACACAACATAATAGCATTATCCTATCTCCCAGTTCTGACTACTTCCTCCTGGAATTGAAAAAAAAACACCTTAATTTATGGAATAAATACGCCGGAGAAATCTTTCAAGGCTAATGTATTTTAAAAAATCACAAGTTACACGCCAGTACCGATTTGAGCGGAATATGGCAGTTTTGTTATTGTGTTCATTTCAGCTTATGCTGTTCCTCTAGGTCCATAATGTGGTGTGGTTCCTAGTGAATCACCCCCTAGGTCTTCGCGAGATCATGTTGTTACAAGCGAATCCGACGAACAGACACGCACCTACCCCCATTCCGTCACTTCAGCCACCCCTCCGACAGATCCTTCGCATGAAAACTTCAGACGAACGAGTTGGCGAAACAGCAAAAGCAGTGTCGTCAACTCGTATTTGCACGAGCGAGCTTTGCGTCGGAGCACCTGCTCCTACGACGCATCAATTCATCGACACGTGTCCGTTCTTCCGCCAGCCCAAGCCGACCGCACCGCCATCCAATGTCGCGGCTCGACGCTGGATTCCTAGAATCAAACAGCATAAATTTCAACGAAGCACCTCACAGCGACATCGCCAATTCCTCTCACACTCTGTGCAGACCAATCCAACCAGAACTACCACCACTACTACTGTCTGAAGCACACCGAAAGCAACGACGGTACTACTCATCCTGTAAACACACGCTCAACTATGGCTGCGCCCACCATTCGCATCCAGGCTGCCGTGATTCTGGCACTCCTCCTCTCAGGTAAGAGGCATATTATTGGTCTTGCCTATCATGCATGCGCCCACTGCTTGAATCTCTGCACACTCAACAAATATGGTCCCTAAGATTTTACAGAACTGACCTGTGCTCAATCTCTGCTGCTTTTCTGCTGTGCTTCACCTCCATGCAGCTCTGATTATTCCCCCCGCGTCTGCCATAAGGTTGGGGATGCGAACGCAAGTTTTGGGTGAGCAAACTTCTCGGAACCGATTGATACAATCGTAGACGGCAAATGCATTATCTGGGTTATGCTTCTTTCGCTCTCTTTCCATCAATTTGGCGTTTTCCTATTATTTCCGGTTACCCAATTCTCCCATAACTCTTCACCACCAATAAAGCCCTCACTTCCCACTTCCCTGCTTTTACATATCCCCTGCGTGCAGCATCGGTGAACGGCCCTCTGGTGATGTGTGGCACTGGCGAGACTGAGGGGTCAGCCCAGCTGGAGCTCGTGAGAAGGTGAGTCGCACAGGCACTCATAATAAGCTAAGCACCCCTGGACACTCCTGAGAACCCCTGAGCGACCCTCAGCACTCCCCAGCACTCCTGAGCACTTTCGAGCACTCCTGGGAACTCGCAAGACCACACAGCTTCGTAGCTAAAGAAATGATGGGGCCAGTGCTTTTGCTCAACTCAATTCATCACCCCTCACTCATCTCCCACTTATCCCCCACCCTACCTCACGCTTTCCCTCCGCCACACCGCAGGGGCGTGGCTCTCTTCCTCACCTACAAGCTCACCACCCAGGCCGGCACCCGCCCCTCCTCCAAGCCCCACCTCCTCACCGCCAACCCCTGCCCCTCCTCCTCCTCCTCCTCCTCCTCCACCACCACTGCCACCGCCGCCTCTCTCGCCCTCGACCCGGCTCTCTCGTCTCAGCTCGGCTCCTCGCTCACAGCCAATCCCCTCAACGCCACTGCGGGCGCCACTGCTGGAGCCTCATCCAGCCTTCTCAACACCTCCACGGGTGTTGGTGCTGCCGTGGGGGCGTCTCTTCCCAACGGAATGCTGGATGCAGCAGGCAGCGTCTCTGCCTCCACAGTGCTTCTCAACACGTCAGCTGGCATTGGCGCCACAGTGGGGGCGTCTCTTCCCAACGGAACGGTGGACGCAGCAGGAGGTGTCCTAGCGTCTACTGGCCTCATGGGCACATCCGTGGGTGTTGGCGCTACCGTGGGGGCGTCTCTTCCCAACGGAATGGGGAACACAGCAGGAGGTGTCTCGGCGTCCACCGCGCTGCTCAACACATCTGCAGGGGTGGGCGCTGGTGCTGCAGTCTCCCTCCCCAACAGCTCTGTCGCTGCAGCGGGTGATCTCTCTGCTTCCACCGCCCTCCTCAACACATCCACCGGGGTAGGAGCCACGGCCAGGGTCTCCCTTCCCAACGGCACTGTCGGTGCAACGGGCGACGTTGCTGTGTCCACGGGGCTGCTCAACACGTCTGCTGGTGTTGGCGCCAGCATTGGCGCTTCCCTTCCCACCGGCTCTGCCTCAGCAGCAGGAGGCCTCACTGCCTCCTCCAGTCTCCTCAACACGTCAGCCGGCGTGGGAGCAGGAGTGGGCATGTCTCTCCCCAATGGCTCCCTCTCGGCCTCTGCCTCCCTTGGTGCCTCCTCCCCTCTCCTCAACACTTCAGCTGGCGCTGGCGCTGCTGTCAACGCAGGCTCGGGCGGCGTCAACGCCAACCTCGGAGCCTCGGCAAACCTCGGCGGCTCGGTCTCCGGCCTCATCTCCGGCGTGGGTGGGGCCGTGGGGAACCTCGTAGGCTCGGTGGGGAACCTGGCAGGCTCGGTGGTAGGCTCGGTGGGCAACATGGGAGCCTCGGTTGGGGTTTCTCGCTCCCCGATTGCGGTGCTGAATGGTGGGTGGGTGGCTACCAGTGGTGGCGCCTACGCCATGGTCGGGCAGACTCGAGTGTCGGCAGCGCTGGCATCAACCCTCGTGACCCGCATGTCCACCAACCTGCCCCTCTTCCTCTCCGTGCACGTGGGAGCGCAGGGCAGCCTTGTAGCCAGGATGGAGTAGCGGAATTGATGGAGGAGGGTTACGGGGGTGAGGGGTGTGTGGAACATGGGAGAGGTGGAACATGGGGAGGTGGAGCATGGAGTAGAGAAGGTGAGCAAGGGAGTGCTCGGAGAGTGAGGGGTAGGTGGAGCATAGAGAAGAGGGGAGAGCTGGGGTACAGGGCACTGTCATGGTCAGGAAGGAGTAGAATAGCGGTTGGGTGGGAAGGCTAGAGGAAGTTGGAAACTAATGCAGTATGGGGTGGTTTCTGCATGCAGTGGTTGTGTCATGGGCTGTGGCATGGGCTGTGTCCCTTGCACACCCAGCTGCTGCCTTCTTGTCCTTTCTTTGTACATAGTTGCTTCTAGTGGACCCCAGCTTTCCTCTCCAATGTCTTTCTTGGCATCTTCCCTGGTGCTTGACATTACGAACGAACGCGCGGCATTGCCCAGATGACAATGGCTCCAGCTCTGAAACAAGAGAGGACTGCTTTTGAGTCAGACTCAAAAGATGGCTCCTGCTCTGAAACAAGAGAGGAACGAACACTTGAGAGAAAAAAAACTGTGAGAACTCAAGGAAAGATGAAATTCCTGTAGTCTCAGATCCCTGCTACACTGGTAATTGTCCGATATCCTTTCTGTGATCACACAGAAACCTCAACCCTCTCGCCACCACGGTGTACCAGCCTCATACTCTTTATAAACAGTTCTCATTCGGCCTTCGCTTTCTTCCACTTGCTCCTCCCATCTCACAGAAAACGCCTGCAAGCCAATAGCCGCTTCCGGTGCCTCCCCAAAAAGGTGCTTCGCCTGGGAAAGCACCTCCGCATCCACAAACTCCTTTCTCCTCTCTTGGCCCAAACTCTCCACTCCATTCCCCTTCACACCATCCGAACCACGGTTGCTGGGTATGGTTGCTTTTAGAACCATAGGTGCGGCCTGCTGGGCTTGGGAGGGGCCATACATGGTGTCTCCGATGAGAGGCGCGCCCAGCGCTGCAAACTGCGCTCGAAGCTGGGACGGGAGAAGAAGGAATAGGGGGAAGGGAAAGAGACACAAGCTGGAGTGCTCTTAGGCACTGAAACGGGCTTGGGAGGGGCCGTACATGGTGTCACCAATGAGAGGCGCGCCCAGTGCTGCAAACTGAGCTCGAAGCTGGAATGGAAGAACAAGGAGAAATGGGAAAGTGTTTTTGAGACGTCTCAAAAACAATCTTCTTTCCAGTGCTGCAAACTGTGCTCGGAGCTGGAATGGGAGAAGGAGAAACGGGAAAGTGCACAAAGCTAGGATCATCTGCTAAGAGAGTTCTCAAAGTGACTCTAAAACCGCCAAGCACTAGTGCATCCCCTCCCCCACCCTGACATATCACCATAGTGTTCCCTCACCTACCACCCGATGCCACATCAGCTGAGTGCCGTACCTGGTGTGTTCTCCCTGTAATGAGCTCTACCAGGCACTCGTATGCCACGTCAGCAGCTGGCCAATAGGAACAGTCCACGTCAGCAGCAGCCAGCACGGAATCAGCAGGCCACGGCACCTCCTCCACTCGGCGAATCACGAGCTCGCAGCGCTGCCAGCCTGGCATGGCTTCTCGGGTTAAAATCTTCGGGGAGTACGGGTCGGGCAGCATGAAATGTATGTGCCTGCCCGGAGCAGGAGCAGATGCGGTCAGGGCTTTGTAGAGCTTGCGAACCTTGCGATTCTGGAAGCAGGGGGTCGAGCCGAGGGAGCCAAGTGGCGAGAAGCGCCGAGAAGAGGGAAGAAGGGAGAAAATAAGTTTGAAGGGAGTAATGGGGAAGGACAAGGGCGCAACATGACATGATGCAGCGGTAAAGAAATTCATGGAACGTTGAAAAGAAATAAATCGCACGTGATTGCAGGAGAGGAATGGAATGGCGGTGGCAGCGGTGGCGGCGACGGCGGTGATGGTGTGTGAGCGGACGGACCTACGGATGGTGTGTGAGCCTACAGGGTCGTGAGCAGACGGACCTGAAGCAGCTGGTTGAAACGACTGGCGAACTGGCGGTTCTTGGCCATTACTACACTGCAGGGAGCAGGGGTAATATGGGAAAATTGTCTCAACACCAGCTGAGATTTTGAAGCACAGGATAACACACACCCCTGGAAACCATTTTGTAATGTCCCTCCACCCACCTACCCACCCACCCACTCCTCAACCCCGCATCCACCCCCCGACCACCCACTCACCCACCCACCAGCCCTGCGTGGTGGGTGAGCTGCAGCGGGCGTGTGAGCCCCACTGCTTTCTGCATTCACTCAGAGCATTCCTCCCACCAGCCCTGGGTACACTCATCCACCCCCCAACCCTGCATAACCCACCCCGCACCCTTCCACACTTCCACCCATCCACACACCAGCCCTGCGTGCAGAGGTCGAGCTGGTGCGTGAGCTGCAGTGGGCGAATGAGCCCCACTGCTTGGCCTCCAAAGAAGGCGCAACACTCCACCAGGTTGTCCACTGTGCCGCCCACCTGCAGCATGCAAACCGAAGGGCGATGTATCATGGGGCGCATGATGGGGGGGTTGAGCTGAGTGAGCTGCAATGGGTGATTGAGCCCCACAACTTGCCCTCCGAAGGAGGTGCAACACTCCACCAGGTTGCCCACTGTGCCGCCCACCTGCACAGGACGCAAACAGCACGGCAGCGCATCGTGCAGCACAGCACAATATGAGTTGATGGGAGATATTTGAGGCGACTCAAAAGTCCATTTTTGAGTCGACTAAAAAATCGACGCATCGTGCGGCACAGCACAACTTGAGGTGATGGGAGATATTTGAGGCGACTCAAAAGTCCACTAAACCCTAAACCCGATTGAACGGCATGGCAGCGAGCCATGGTGCACATGTTGAGGTGAGTGGAGGGCGGTCATGTCATGTGCGTGAATGGTTGGATGCCACTGGTTATTATTAAAGACGGCGCACAGTTGGAGTGACAGACAGTGCCATCATGCTATAGCCGTTTCTTTAGAATTCTCAAAAAGCTCCTGCAACAGCATGGGCGAACCGAGGGAATGGCAGGGCCATGGGTGAGCTGAGTGGCTTACAGGGACATTGTATGGCTTATCGATCACCACATAGTCATCCTCGTTAACAATCACAGACGTTTGCCAGTCAAAGCTGTAGCACCTGCATCCAACGAACAGTTGAGGGTGGATGGATTTAGGGTTTAGAAATAAGATATTTCACAAAACATCGTACAAAACTACACAAAAAAACGCGCACACACTCTGAAAGATTGTAACTGTTAACTCATAGTCTTATGACATGATTTACTCGCTGCAAGCTTCACTCACATGGGGAATCGTTTAGGATGCACGTGAACTCGGAGGTAACTGCCTGCCTTTACTCTCACTCCATACTCCTCCTCCTCCTCCCCCCCCTCCTGATGCTGCTTCTGCTTTTGCTTCTGCTGCTGATGATTCTCCTCGCCTCTACCATCCCTCCCGTCCCTCTTGCCCCTCAAATCTCTCCCACTACCCGAGCCCTTCTTCCCCACCTTGTCTCGGGACCTCTGCCTTTGCCTCTTCTCCTTCTGCCCAACGCATCTTCCCCGCACTCCCCCCACCTCCACCCTTCTAACCTTCTGCAACTCTGCCAATGTGACCTTTGGTTTATGCGAGGAGGAGGAGGGGGAGGAGGAAGAGGAGGAGGAAGCGGAGGTGGGAGAGGAGGGCGAGGAGGAGGGGTCAGTGGTGTGCTGGGCGATAAATTCGAGGTAGGCTTGAAGGGCCTCTGGAGGGAGGTTCGGAGGCGGGGGAGGTGGCACCTGGGCGTGGTAGATCCCACCGAATCGTATCAAATCTGTGACGTATCTGCATGATTGGGTGGGAGGCAAACCACATGAAATACAGCACAAGAAATTGTTGAAGATAGGGTCAAAACAGCGAAGGAAACAGAGCAAATCGATGCTGATCAGCTCAAATATCGACTATGATCAACTTGATTTGCAGCTTCATGCTTCATGAATCATATATTTCTGCTCAGCGTGATTTTGCTGATTCATCATTCATGCTCAGCGTGTCGACTTACTCTGTTGGAAGGTCGAGTGATTCAGCTACCACATCCACAACGCGGCCTTCTCGTTCCACCAATAGGTGCTCAACACGTGGCGGTAACTGTGGCTCTGGACGTAGCTGCAGCCGCGTATAGGTAATTCCCGACCAATCGGGAAGTTGCGACAGCGGTTCGGGATTTCCTGCATTGCTGCTACTGGAAGTGCTGCTTTCGACGCCGTTGTTCACGGTGCTACGTACCGCTGTGATTCGCTTCCCCGCCCGCCAAACGTTCGCTCCCTTCACTCCTACGTATGCACCGCCGCTTTCTGCGGCGAGACTGAGGCATTTAGGGCGATCGATGGTTGGGATGATACAAAAGAACGGCTTCACGACAAGCGCGTTGGAAGCACCGGCTGTTCTCAACAAGGAAAAGGATCGTTGCATTAATAAATTCACTGATCAGTGAGTAGATAGCACGTGACGGTCGGAAATAGCGCAGAGACAGGCCGAGGCTGGGAGGGATTGTAAGTGTCGCAGACGTTGCAAGGTGAAAATAGTTTGCCTAGGAATGAGGCGGGAATGGCGGTGGCTTATGACCTTTTAGGGGATGGGATAGGGCGTCACGAAAAGCTCAACTCACCACCGTTCAGTGAGATGCCGTTAGCTTCATCGCATATGTATAATTCCATTTGTGTACCATAATATAATTTGTGTTCGCGAATGGAGCAGTGGGCGACGGTTGAATGCGAGACCTGACGACAAATGCTGGTTCTGAGCTGTTCCGTAACCTTTGTTACTTCTTGACTTCAGCTCCAAAAATATGGGAGGACCTCGTCAGCAGGCTAGCACGTCAGCAACGTTCACCCCGCACAGTGATCAGATGTGTCTGCCAAGGCATCCCCCTCGAAAATGACGATGCTTCGCAACCGTTGGCCCATCGCTGCCGTTCAGTGACCATCATCATTGCATCGTAGCCGCTTCTTTTGGATTAGACGAGATTCGCGTGACATTCTGAAGGAATCATTCCCAACCAAGGAATATAAATCCATGCTTTCCTGCAGTTCCAGGGGCATTCATGTCTTGATCACGTGCTATCCCTGCTTCACTGATGGAATTGTAAATCCATTTTCCGATTGCTTGAGATCAGCACTGAGTGCTAGCTGATCGAGGAATACTGTTTTGCCAGTAGGCGCTTCTCACACTTCCTGGCAGCACTGTTTGGTTGTGAAGCATAATTTGCTTCCATGGCGGAAAAAGAAAGCGGCATATCCGTGGGAAAGGTGGCTGGAATTGCAGCATGGGCAGCGATCACGCGGAAATTGGCACTCCCGTCTCTGCTTCGTGCGACGGAGCTTTTCGTTTTCAATGGCGAGGCTGTCGTTAATTCCGACATAATCCTTTCTCTCCTCGTATGTGATTCTGCTTCAATTACATGTAGTAACAACTCAGATTTACTCGCATGCGAATAGTCGGTTTGGTTGCCACCAGCCACTTCCGACATCCGATACCAAACTTTGGAAGCGTTATTAGCCAGCTAACTGGAACATTCTACAATTATTAACCATTTGTTTAACGTCACCTGGAAGCAGCTCAATGATTACCCTAATCGCGGCTTCAAGCTCGAGACGTACTTGACCACAGTATCTTGTCACTCTCTACTCTCTTTTAAGCTGTTTCCCTCACCCCTATCTCCCTGACCAACAGGCGCTCTCCACGTGTCCGCTCTCGAAGGTCCAGAGCGTAATTCGCTTCAAGGATCCCAAGGAGACGCTGATCGGAGCGGTGGTCGCGGCGGTGTTGGGGCTTCACAACGTCGTCGTGCGCCGCGCCAAGCTGAACCGACTCAAGGAGCAATCGGTGAGCTTAAATGAACCGACGGTGAGCTGAGAGGACCGACTCAAGGAGCAATCGGTGAGCTTAAATGAACCGACGGTGAGCTGAAAGGACCGACTCAAGGAGCAATCGGTGAGCTTAAATGAACCGACGGTGAGCTGAAATGACCGACTCAAGGAGCAATCGGTGAGCTTAAATGAACCGACGGTGAGCTGAGAGGACCGACTCAAGGAGCAATCGGTGAGCTTAAATGAACCGACGGTGAGCTGAAAGGACCGACTCAAGGAGCAATCGGTGAGCTTAAATGAACCGACGGTGAGCTGAAATGACCGACTCAAGGAGCAACCAGTGAGCTGAACCTCCTAAAGGAGCAGTGTTTCTGGAACGTCAAAGGCGTGGCCGAAAAGAAGGTCGTTCTGGGATGTTAAATCAACCATGCAACATTCCATACAATCCTTCACATCACGCGCAGTCCACGTGCATGCTCATGCAATCTTTCACATCACGCGCAGTCCGCGTGCATGCTCATGCAATCCTTCACATCACGCGCAGTCCACGTGCATGCTCATGCAATCCTTCACATCATGCGCAGTCCACGTGCATGCTCATGCAATCCTTCACATCACGCGCAGTCCACGTGCATGCTCATGCAATCCTTCACATCACGCGCAGTCCACGTGCATGCTCATGCAATCCTTCACATCACGCGCAGTCCACGTGCATGCTCAGGCAATCTTTCACATCACGCGCAGTCCGCATGCATGCTCATGCAATCCTTCACATCACGCGCAGTCCACGTGCATGCTCATGCAATCCTTCACATGCTGTTCACACGCAATGATCACGCGATGCTTCATGTGCAGATTACATGCAGTGCTCATGGCGCTTCATCACGTGCAGTTCACATGCATGCTGATGCACTTGTTCACGTGCTGCCCACATGCATGCTCATGCAATTGTTCACGTGCTGCCCACATGCATGCTCATGCAATTGTTCACGTGCTGCCCACATGCATGCTCATACTGTCCTTCACATGCAACTATCCACATGCGCGCTTCCTTGCAGATGCTCCTGCCAGGGGAGGAGGCCGTCTGGCGCAGGAAGAACCTTCCTGGAAATGAGCTTGTGAGTGGGAACGTCTCTGCCGCTGTTGACAGGACACGACCAAGCACGGCCGGCATTTCTTCACAATTTACAGTCTATTAATCCAAGAAAAATGGCTTCATTCAATGTGCATGACTGAGGATACATGGTGCAGTGATGATCACATGCGTTGCATCCATGATGAGCCTGGTGTGCCCAAGGGTTTCTTTGGTTCTATGGCGGCATGCATGAATGCATCACGATGCCGTGGTATGCATAACAACTAAGGATGACGTCACCACTGCTGTCGCAACTCAACCATGTTGTCACCCCGTGCCATATCCCTCTTCGTTATGGTGCTATGCCATGCTAAGCTATGCCATGCCATGCCATGCGTTGTTACGCATTGTCATTTTACACTGTTTCGCACACTACCTCACCCATTCCTCACTTGTTGATCTGTGTGCATGTGATTGTACATGTGCATGTGCATGTGCGTATGCTGGTCGTGCATCGCCATGTGCATGTGTCAGATGGTAGTGTCCTACGAGGAGGCCTCCACGTGCTATCACAACTTCTTCACCTTTGCTCGCCAGAGGTTCGCAGATGTGAGTGCCGGGCCTTGCCGTGCCATACCATTTTGTTCAGCCCTTTGCTGATGTGAGCGTTGTGTCACCCTGCTGAGTCCAAATGATTCCGCCCATCATATGTCATGCCATGCCATGCCATGCTGTGTCATGCCACATGATGCCACATACCAGCTGAGACCTCTTCTTCCCCCTTTCATTTCCCATTCCTCTTCATCCCATCCTCCCATTTCCCACCTGTTCCATTATCTCCCCTCCCCACAACAGAACCCCTGCCTGGGCACTCGAACCGGTGATGGATTCTCCTGGGAGAGCTACGAGCTCACGGCACGCCGAGCCTCCGACTTTGGTGCGGGGCTGGTGTACCTGGGGCTGAAGCCCGGCGACAGGTTCGGCATCTATAGCGTGAACAACGCGGAGTGGGTGCTGGCGGAGCTGGGAGGGTACTGCTACGGACTTGTCAACGTGTCACTGTGAGTATGGTGAAGGGCTGATGTGAGTATGGTGAAGGGCTGATGTAAGTATGGCGAAAGGGCGATGTGAGTATGTGCTCTTCTATTTACACCCTCTGCATCCCTCCAAACCTCTGCATCCCTCCACACTTCCCTCCCCGCCTCTGCACCCCTCTGCACCCCTCCCAGTTACGCCACACTGGGGCAGGAGGCGGTGAACCACGTGGTGAATCACTCCGAGATGGTGGCTGTGGTGTGCAGCGTGGAGGTGAGCGGTGGTGAGCAGTGGTGAGCGGAGGTGAGCGGTGGTGAGAGGTGATGTGCAGCATGGAGGTGCGAGTGGGAATGTGTGTGCTGAGTGAGTGCGTGTGGTTGGCTAGGTGGTTGTGTGGGGGTGGATGTAATCGCCATCCTAAGCCATGGTTCTCCCCTTCCAACTGCCTCCTCTCTCCCCTCTCTTTCCTCACCTCCCTTTCTCCACTCTCATTTTCCCCTCTCCCTTCCTCCCCACCCTCACCTCTCTATTCAATCTCTCCTTTCTCCTCCCCTCATGCCCACCGCTCTCCTGCTCCTATCGCTCTTTTCCCACAGACCCTCTCATTACTCTTCAAGATCCTGCCATCAAGCCCGGCGTGTAAGACAGTGATATACATGCAGGGGGGCGGGCAGTCACCCAGCGACGCGGTCAGGCAGGCAGCAGAGGAAGCAGGCGTGCACTCAACTGTCTCACCCTCGTTCTTCCCCCTCCTCCCATTTCCATTCCTCTCCTGCTCCTGCCCCTATTGCTCCCTTCCCCCAGACCCTCTCATCTCTCTTCAAGGCGCTGCCATCAGCCCCGGCAGTGAAGACGGTGATATACATGCAGGGGGGCGGGCAGGGACCCAGTGACGCGGTCAGGCAGGCAGCAGAGGATGCGGGCGTGCAGTCAACTCTTCCACTCACTCGCATTCTTCTCCTGCCCCTACTGTTCCCCCTACGCAGACCCTCTCATCTCTCTTCAAGGCGCTGCCATCAGCCCCAGCAGTGAAGACGGTGATATACATGCAGGGGGGCGGGCAGGCACCCAGCGACGCGGACAGGCAGACAGCAGAGGATGCGGGCGTGAAGCTGATTCCGTTCTCGCAGGTGGAGGAGTGGGGCGCGCAGAACCCCCAGGAGCACACCCCCCCCAAGCCTGAAGACCTGGCTGTGCTCATGTACACGTCTGGCACCACTGTGAGTGGCAATGGCACCACTGTGAGTGGCAATGGCACCACTGTGACTAGCAATGGCACCACTGTGAGTGGCGATGGCACCACTGTGAGTGGCAATGGCACCACTGTGAGTGGCGATGGCACCACTGTGAGTGGCGATGGCACCACTGTGAGTGGCAATGGCACCACTGTGAGTGGCGATGGCACCACTGTGAGTGGCAATGGCACCACTGTGAGTGGCAATGGCACCACTGTGAGTGGCGATGGCACCACTGTGAGTGGCGATGGCACCACTGTGAGTGGCGATGGCACCACTGCGAGTGGCGATGGCACCACTGTGAGTGGCGATGGCACCACTGTGAGCGGCAATGGCACCACTGTGACTGGCGATGGCACCACTGCGAGTGGCGATGGCACCACTGTGAGTGAGTGGCCGTGGCAGTATATGAGAGGCGAGCTGATGGAAGCAGTTTAGGGTAAGAGGCAGCAGGCGTGAAGCTGATCCCATTGTCCCGGGTGGAGGAGTGGGCCGCGCAGAACCCCCAGGAGCACATCCCTCCCAAGGCGGAGGACCTTGCCGTACTCATGTACACGTCTGGCACCACTGTGAGTGGCATTGGCACCACTGTGAGTGGCAATGGCACCACTGTGAGTGGCGATGGCACCACTGCGAGTGGCGATGGCACCACTGTGAGTGAGTGGCCGTGGCAGTATATGAGAGGCGAGCTGATGGAAGCAGTTTAGGGTAAGAGGCAGCAGGCGTGAAGCTGATCCCATCGTCCCGGGTGGAGGAGTGGGGCGCGCAGAACCCCCAGGAGCACATCCCTCCCAAGGCGGAGGACCTTGCCGTACTCATGTACACGTCTGGCACCACTGTGAGTGGCAAGGGGCGCAGATGAGGGTGCGTGGGTGGGTGGGTTAAAGTTGTTCAAGGTAAGATGCCGCGGGCCTGCACTGAGCTCATGTACACGTCTGGCACCACTGTGAGTGGCAAGGGGCGCAGATGAGGGTGCGTGGGTGGGTGGGTTAAAGTTGTTCAAGGTAAGATGCAGCGGGCGTGCACTGAGCTCATGCACACGTCTGGCACCACTGTGAGTGCGCACAGGGGCGCAGGGGCGCTGGAACTGGGGGTAGCAGGCAGGCGTGCTGAGTGGCACTGGCACCATGTGAGAGACATTGGCGTTTTGAAGACATGTGTCTGTCTGTGCAATGGTGCGTGAGTGAGTAGTGGGACCACTAGTGCACACACACATATACATGCACACAGTTGCTCTCACACATACCTGCTAAGGCAGCAGTGGCTGGCAGGACTCCAACTTGCATCATCTAAATCCCTCTACTGAATCCTTCATTCTTCTCCCACATCACACGAAACCACGTTTTTCCCTTCGCCTTTCCTTCTTTCCCCCAACCCGTCTTGTTGATTTTCTCCCGTCCCCATCCCTCAGGGAGATCCCAAGGGAGTGATGCTAACGCACCGCAACATCATAGCCAACACCACCTCGTGCCTGGCTGTGCTGGGTACCTCAGGGGTCACCCTCGGCTCCGGCGACCGCTACCTCTCCTACCTGCCCCTGTCTGGCCCCTTCCTCACTCCCCCATCCCCATCTCCTCCCCATCTCCTCCTCTTCTCCTCCCCTTCCCTCTCTCCGTCTCTCTCCCCTTTCTTCTTCGTGCATCTCACAGGGAGATCCCAAGGGAGTGATGCTAACGCATCGCAACATCATAGCCAACACCACCTCGTGCCCGGCTGTGCTGGGCACCTCAGGGGTCACCCTTGGCTCCGGTGACCGCTACCTATCCTACCTGCCCCTTTCTGGCCCCTTCCTCACTCCCCCATCCCCATCTCCTCCCCATCTCCTCCCCATCTCCTCCCCATCTCCTCCTCTTCTCCTCCCCTTCCCTCTCTCCGTCTCTCTCCCCTTTCTTCTTCGTGCATCTCGCAGGGCGATCCCAAGGGAGTGATGCTAACGCACCGCAACATCATAGCCAACACCACCTCATGCCCGGCAGTGCTGGGCACCTCAGGGGTCACCCTCGGCTCCGGCGACCGCTACCTCTCCTACCTGCCCTTGGCGCACATCTTCGAGCGGGCGGCTCTTGCGTCCATGTACATGCAGGTGGGTGGCTTGCAGTGTCTGTACATGCAGGTGGGTGGCTTGCAGTGTCTGTAGCGCAGGAGGGGTCACCCTCGCTCCGGCGACCGCTACCTCTCCTACCTGCCCTTGGCACACATCTTTGAGCAGACGGCACTCGCGCCTATTTTCATGCAGGTGGGTGGTGTGCGTTGTCTGTACATGCAGGTGGGTGGCAGGAGTTGCCTGTACATGCAGGTGGATGGCTCGCGGTGTCTGTACCTGCAGTTTGGTGGATCTCGTTGGCTGATGTCATTCTCGCCATCTTTCTGCCAAACTCTTCACACCCAGCTATGCAATCACATCACACACCTCTCACTGCCTACCGTTCATGCTTCTTCCCTCCCTCCATTCCCCTCCCATCGTCCCACCCTCCCCACGAGGGCGTGGCAGTGGGGCTTTTCAGTGGCAAGGTGGACTCGCTCATCGACGACTTGGAGGGGAGCTATCTCAATTCCCCTCAAATATACGCCCACGTTTTCCTCCCATGAAACCCTCCCCTCCTCCCTTCCCAGGGCGTGGCTGTGGGCTTTTACAGTGGCAAGGTGGAATCTCTCCTCGAGGACATGGGGGCGCTCAAACCCACCGTGCTGTTTGGTGTGCCGAGGTTGTTCAACCGCCGCGTGCACGACAAGGTGCTGCAGCAGGTGGACGCTGCTCCCCCCCTCAACCGCTTCCTCTCCCACCCCTCCCCCTTCTCCCCTCCCTTCCAGGGCGTGGCAGTGGGCTTTTACAGTGGCAAGGTGAAGTCACTCCTCGAAGACATGGGGGCCTTGAAGCCCACCGTGCTCCTCGGTGTGCCCAGGGTGTTCAACAAGGTGCACGACAAGGTGCTGCAGCTCCCCCCTTTAACCGCTTCCTCTCCCACCCCTCCCCCTTCTCCCCTCCCTTCCAGGGCGTGGCAGTGGGCTTTTACAGTGGCAAGGTTGAGTCTCTCCTCGAGGACATGGGCGCCTTAAAGCCTACCGTCCTGTTTGGTGTGCCCCGGGTCTTCAACAAGGTGCACGACAAGGTGCTGCAGCAGGTGGACGCTGGCTCCGCGCTGAAGCGATTCCTCTTCAACTCGGCCATTGGGGAGAGCGCCAAGGTGCTCAAGGCTGGTGGGGCCTTCAAGTCGCTTCCTCTCTGGGATACGCTGATTTTCAAAAAGGTGAGACAGCAAGTGCTGCTGCCCCTGCATAGGGTGAGGTGCTGTGCTATGGCCTTCCCAGGAGGTAGGATGGAGCTGGTGGGGGTACTGAGAGGGTGTTCAACAAGGTGCACGACAAGGTGCTGCAGCAGGTGGACGCTGGCTCCGCACTGAAGCGATTCCTCTTCAACTCAGCCATCAGGGAGAGCGCCAAGGTGCTCAAGGCCGGAGGGGCCTTCAAGTCGCTGCCCCTGTGGGACACCCTCATCTTCAAAAAGGTGAGCCAGCCACAGAGTGCTGTGCTGTGTGGTTGCAACTTGCCGTCTCGGTATCAGGGAGAGCGCCAAGGTGCTCAAGGCCGGAGGGGCCTTCAAGTCGCTGCCCCTCTGGGACACCCTCGTTTTTTAGAAGGTAAGTCAAAGGACGCAGAATCGCGAGTGTTGGGTGTTGAAGTGAGTGAGAGCGGCTTTTGAGTCGACTCAAAAGTCACCTTGAAGTGAGTGAGAGCATGGCAGCGTGCTGCAGCAATGGATGGTGCCTTCTTCAGAACCAGCACAGAGCCTGTGATAGGCTAGAAGCTGAAGGCAGCACGACAAACGTGTGTGTGATGAGTCGATTTTTGAGTCGACTCGTCACACCTGTGATAGTCTAGAAGCTGAAGGCAGCACCAAGAACCTGAAACAAGGAACAACGGACGCCCTCTGTGCGCCGTACCCAACGCCTGACCATCTCATCACCTTCTCCAACCCTTTCTCCACCCGTCCTGCTCCTTCTGTGCTCTGCCCGGTTCTTGAGAATTCCCAAAAACCTTCTGTGCTCTGCCCGGTTCTTGAGAATTCCCAAAAACCTTCTGTGCTCTGCCCGGTTCCACCGCCTCCCCTGCGTGATCACCACGCAGGTGCAAGCCCGTGTTGGTGGCTGCTGCAGAGTCATTCTCTCAGGAGGGGCGCCCATTAGCGCAGCCACACAGCAGGTACCACGCACTTCACTCTGCCTTAACCTCTGCGTCTGCCTCTTCGTTTGTCTCTGCCTCTGCCTCTGCCTTTGCGCAACTTTGCCTTCTGTCCAGCTCCTCATGCTTATGTGTTGCTCTATCATCGATGCTTTCACTTGGGCTTCCCTGAAACGCGCTCTCTATCCGTCCTGTCGTTATTCCCCACTTTCCTCCCTGCCACCTCCCTCCCTGTCACCTCCTTGCCCCTGGACAACCCATGCCCCCCTCCCTCTCTGCAGTTCCTTGCCATCGCCTTCGGTTGCCCTGCACTTCAGGTCAGCATGACCCCTCCCCTCTTTCCACTCCCTCCGCCCTTTTACTCCCTTCCCTCCTTCCTCTCCCTCCCCTCGTTCCTCTCCCCCACGTCGTTCCTCTCAACCCCCTTCCCCCACCCTTCCCCCACCCTTCTTCGCTCCTTGCCATCACCTTTTATTTGATCTGCTCGTCATGTCTGCATCCCACCCCACCTTCCCCTCCCCTTCCCCTTTCCTTAGGTTGTGCCTCCCCTTCTTGTCAATTAATCCCCTCCAACCACCACAATGGTGTCTCTATTCAATTGCACCTTCTCTGATGCATTTCCCTTTGTTTTTGCCTTATTTTCTTTTTGTCTTTTATGGGCTGTAGTAATGGTCTCCAGAATCACCTCTCCTCGTAACATTCTCCCAGCATCAATCCCATTGCCTCCCCGCCACTGTTCTCTCGCTGACCCCTGGTGCCTATTTATCCCCGTTCTATCGAAATCACTTTTGAGAACTTTTGAGGCGCCTCAAAAGCCTGGTGCCTATTTATCCCCGCTCTAGCGAAATCACTTCTGAGAATTCTCAAAGGTGCCTATTTTTCCCCGCTGCCTCCGTTCTCCCCGTCCCTCTCTGCCCCATTCCCTTGTGCTTGGGCCTCTCCTCTTGCCCTACAGGGTTACGGCCTGTCAGAGACAAGTGCAGCTGGCACCATCACAGCACTCGAAGACCCCAACACGTGAGTTCCCACGCGAGCTGGAAATAAATTTGAAAATATCAATCAACTTGTGCAAAACAATGTGCAGTTAATTATGCTAGGAATTCAATGTATAAATGACCACCAGTGCTCACACATATGCAACCCAGGAAGCTGCACTCCTGCCATCCCGGACCCCCCCACAGTTTTGGTGGGCATGAAGCTTGGGAACGTCTCAAAACTCGATTTGTTCCCTCCTCTCTTTACTTTCTCCCTCCTTCCCCCCTTTCCACACCTTCCTTCCTTCTCACCCTCCCAGGGGCCACGTGAGTGTGCCCCAGCCATCGGTGGACATGAAGCTAGCAGCAGTGCCGGAGATGGAGTACCTTACACTAGCTGTGTTTGGTTTGAGGATCTCTTTATATTTTCCTCCCTTTCCATTCCGCCCTCCTTCCTTCCTCCATTTACCCTCCCAGGGGCCACGTGGGACCCCCCCAGCCATCAGTGGACATGAAGCTGGCACCGGTGCCGGAGATGGAGTACCTACCGACTGACAAGCCCAAGCCTCGGGGAGAGGTACGCCAGAGAGTGATCAAGAGGGGAGAATGGGGAGTGTGCGAGGATGGCAAGGATAATCAGGACTTGACTGTGCTTCTTTGCCCTTGCCCCTACAGCCCAGCAACCCCCGCCCCCCCTTTTCTCGTTTCTGTTCTTGAATTCTGTCAAAGTTAGATGCATATGAGGGTTACCCCCATAAACTCTCCTCTCCCCCTACCCCCCTCCTCCCCTCTCCCCCAAACCCTTTCCCTCCCTCACCTCCCTAAATCTTCGTGCTATGCAGATTTGCTTCAGGGGAGCGTCGGTGATGGTGGGGTATTACAAGCAGGAGGAGATGACCGCTGAAGTCATTGACAGTGATGGATGGTTCCACACTGGAGACATTGGGCAGGTGAGTGCGACTGGGGACGTCTGTGGGTACGTTCTAGGCACAAGTTCCGTAGGTGCACTGTTCATGGATCTCATGTGTGCACTGTTCATGTGTGTGGCTGGTTGGTGCGAGCAGGTGAACGAGGACGGCACACTCACCATCATCGATCGCAAGAAGAACATCTTCAAGCTCGCCCAGGGCGAGGTGAGGCACACACAGGGCGAGGTGAGACACACACAGGGCGAGGTAAGACAGAGGCAGGGCGAGGGGAGGCACACACACACGCAGGGACTCTGAGGTGAGCTTGGCTGTTGAGGTGCCTCAAAGGGCGGCACACTCACCATCATCGATCGCAAGAAGAACGTCTTCAAGCTCGCCCAGGGCGAGGAGAGGCAGAGACAGGGCGAGGTGAGGCAGAGACAGGGCGAGGTGAGGCAGAGACAGGCCGAGGTGAGGCAGAGACAGGGCGAGGGGAGGGGTGTGCTCGGGGCGAGGTGAGGGTGGCTCGGGGAGGGGTGAGGTGCAGGGGAGAAGAGGGGAGGGGAGGCATTCTTACTGCACTCGCGAGCCTTGCATTCCAGGCTGGCATTCTCATTCCACGTCAGATGTGAGGATAAGCTGAGTCTACGCCCAGTTGACTTTTGAGTCGACTCAAAAGTCAACTCAGATGTGAGGATAAGCTGAGTCTACGCCCAGTTGACTTTTGAGTCGACTCAAAAGTCAACTCAGATGTGAGGATAAGCTGCGTCTACGCCCACAACAACAATCTTCAAGCTATGCACTTCTCACCCACCCACCCCCCCTGCAGTATGTGGCAGCAGAGACGCTCGAGGTGCTGTATGCCGTTGCTGCTCACAATAAAATAGCTTGTTCGTGTGCTTTTGAGGCGCCTCAAAAATAAAATAGCTTGTTCGTGTGCTTTTGAGGCGCCTCAAAAATAAAATAGCTTGTTCGTGTGCTTTTGAGGCGCCTCAAAAATAAAATAGCTTGTTCGTGTGCTTTTGAGGCGCCTCAAAAATAAAATAGCTTGTTCGTGTGCTTTTGAGGCGCCTCAAAAATAAAATAGCTTGTTCGTGTGCTTTTGAGGCGCCTCAAAAATAAAATAGCTTGTTCGTGTGCTTTTGAGGCGCCTCAAAAATAAAATAGCTTGTTCGTGTGCTTTTGAGGCGCCTCAAAAATAAAATAGCTTGTTCGTGTGCTTTTGAGGCGCCTCAAAAATAAAATAGCTTGTTCGTGTGCTTTTGAGGCGCCTCAAAAATAAAATAGCTTGTTCGTGTGCTTTTGAGGCGCCTCAAAAATAAAATAGCTTGTTCGTGTGCTTTTGAGGCGCCTCAAAAATAAAATAGCTTGTTCGTGTGCTTTTGAGGCGCCTCAAAAATAAAATAGCTTGTTCATGTGCTTTTGAGGCGCCTCAAAAATAAAATAGCTTGTCCGTGTGCTTTTGAGGCGCCTCAAAAATAAAATAGCTTGTTCGTGTGCTTTTGAGGCGCCTCAAAAATAAAATAGCTTGTTCGTGTGCTTTTGAGGCGCCTCAAAAATAAAATAGCTTGTTCGTGTGCTTTTGAGGCGCCTCAAAAATAAAATAGCTTGTTCGTGTGCTTTTGAGGCGCCTCAAAAATAAAATAGCTTGTTCGTGTGCTTTTGAGGCGCCTCAAAAATAAAATAGCTTGTTCGTGCGCTTTCTCCCACCTGCAATCATCCCACGTCCCTTCTCCCACCCAACCCCCCTGCAGTATGTGGCAGCAGAGAAGCTAGAGGTGCTGTATGCTGGTGCTGCAGTGGTGGGCCAGATCTTTGTGTATGGCGACAGGTGAGATGCTCGCTACTTGACGCGCCTGAACCAATCAGGCCAGGCGCCTCAAACGACGAGGTGCTGTATGCTGGTGCTGCTGTGGTGGGCCAGAACTTTGGGTACGGCGAAAGGTGAGTACTTTGTTTTTTTTTTTTTATGTGTGAGGCAGATTAGTCTCGGAAAAAACTCTTTACCGCAAATTTATTCCTCACACACACGCCCTCCCATGTGCATAGTTTCCCCTCTGCTCTCACATGCCCACCCGTGTGCTCTCACCCATCCCTCTCCACCTCACCCTGCCTGCCACTTGTCCATCAGTCACCTTGCGCTACCCTCCTTCTCACCTTGCTCGCCCCCCATCACCTTGCCCTGCCACCCGTCACCCCGCCTGTCCCTCGACCCCCTGTCCCTGCGGCTCAGCTTCAAGTCCTCACTGGTGGCGGTGGTGGTGCCTGAGAAGGATGTGCTCTCTGATTGGGCCACGTCATCAGGAGCCCTCTCTGCTGACGAGGCTTCCACGGCATCCCTTGCTGACCTGTGAGAGTGCTTGCTTCCCCTGCTTAGCTTGCTGCCCCTCGTAGCTGTGTGCCCTTCATAGGTGCATGTTGTTCCTCATGCCCCCAAGCCCTCCATGCTTGTTGTTCCATGTGAGCTGGTGAGAGGCATGTTGTTCATAGCCATCCCCTTCATAGGTGCATGTTGCTCCTCATGCCCCCAAGCCCTTCATGCCTGTATGCCCGCCCATGTGAGCTGATGAGAGGCATTCGTTTGGAATTCAACACCACCCTCCCTATCCCCTCCCACCCCTGTGCTCCCTCCTCTTCCTGTCCACAGCTGCGCCCTCCCAGGAGCGAGGGAGTATGTCCTGGATGAGCTGGTGAAGGCGCCAAGGCAACGAGCATGAAGGGGTTACTTTGAGGTGGTGAAATGCATGGCTTGAGAGCGTGGCACCACGCCCCCCCTCCCCCCCCCCCCCTGCACCATCCTTTTTTTATTCCACAGCTGCGCCCTCCCAGGAGCAAAGGAGTATGTCCTGGATGAGCTGGTGAAGCGCGCCAAGGCAACGAGCATGAAGGGCTTTGAGGTGGTGCGGGGCGTGACCCTGGAGGCCGAGGCCTTCACCACGGACAACGACCTCATGACGCCCTCCTTCAAGCTCAAGCGCCCCAAGCTCAAGGTGAGTGCTGCTGTAATGTGAACCTCCTGCTGCAAGCCCAGGCTCAAAGGTGGGTGTGCCTCAGACGAGGGTAGGCAGGGCTTTCGGGGCAGAGTCCTTCACCACGGACAACTACCTCATGACTCCCTCCTTCAAGCTCAAGCGCCCCAAGCTCAAGGTGGGTGCGAGTTGGGCACTGAGGTTAGTGCTGCCCTTTGAGACGCGGAGCTGCTGGGTCAAGGGGATGCATGGCTCAAAGGTGGCCTTCTCCACTGAGAACGACCTCATAACTCCTCCCTTCAACCTCAAGCGCCCCAAGCTCAAGGTGGGTGCTGCTGAGATGTAGACCCGTTATGCTCAGCCTCTCAGCCTCAAGGTGAATGTGAGTTGGGCACAGGTTTACCCAGGGCACTGAGGCACAATGCTGCAGGGTCAAGGGTAGGCATGGCTGTGGAAGAATAAGTGTTCTCCACTGAGAACGACCTCATGACTCTCTCCTTCAAGCTCATGTGCCCAAAGCTTAAGGAGGGTGCTGCTCTGCTGCCACTCGTTGCAAGCTGAAGGTGTTGTTGTGCCACCGTTGCAGTCCAGATGTGTTTATCCCGCGCAAGAATTCTTGCTTGCCCTCGTGGTTCACTATTCTTTCTTGAGCAGCCTTTCTTACACACCCAGCCTCCCCCTCCATCTGCTTCTGTCTGTGCATGCGAGTTAACGTGTCTATGTGTTTAAAAATGTTGGGGGTTTTCTCTGTCTGCTCCCTCCTGTCCTTTCCAGGCCAAGTATCAAGCGGCAATTGACGAGCTCTACACCACACTCACGTAAATGTGAACGCAGAAGTCAGGCAAAAATGAATTGGTTGGCATGCAGCATGTGGCATGCATGCCTTAAGCGACTTAGATTATACTGGATTCAGCTGGAGTCTCATGCATGACAAAGCAAGCAGCTTCACAAAGGAGGGATTTAGTCACCAAGGGAGCAGCAAGTTTGGTCACGCTGGTTATTTTCTTTGTAATAGAGCTATGGGATCGTTGTTGGGGCTCTGGAATACATAATGGCAAACTCTTATAATATGTTACACTACATAAACCCGAAACTCTGAATGTCAGTGTTTGAAAGCTTGAATGGAAATAGAAGTTACACGTTTGATATTCTTGTGCGCAAATTACTGTACCAGAACACTGCTTTCTTCGGCCGACTCCGTACGGACACGACTCACCACACCATTGGTTGTTGAATTGAGGCGGTGAAATTCGTGGCTCTGGAGATACTGTATCATTGAGTAAGTTGGATCAATTCCTTTTCCACTTGTCTGAGTGGCAACCGATATGACCTCGCATTTTACAGCAACGGCATCCAGGTGGGCTGTTTCCTCCACACACGATTCCAGCGCATGTTCCAGCGACGCAGAAGTCGGAAAAAAGTTCGCGCCGTCTCCGCCAGCACGGTGCAACCTCAGGCCATCGTCTTTGCTGGTCCCCCACAGAAATTAGCTTGAATGACGTGGTCAGATCTCAAAAAGCGCACGCTTGATGTCAGCCGCAAGATCCTCTTCCCTCGGATATTTCGAATTTTCTTTCGTGTTTGAAAATTGAGCAGTTCCAGCAACCAGCTGCGTGGAGCGAACAGCTCAGCACGGCATTCAACCACACTTCACTCGACGACTTTCCACGCAACTGTTCCGAATCCTCAAGCGTGGCTGAGAATCATTAACCAATCCGACGCACTAGAATGAACTCCGCTGATTGGACTCACCTGTGCAAACTGCCAGAGCACGCGCTTTTCCCGTTTCCTTGTCACTTTCGCCTTTGTTGGATGCGGCTCGCACAGCTAAAACAGAACGCTCGGAAGGATCATGTTCGGGGTAGCCCGGTCACCCCAACGGCTGCACCAGTTTCCCGCCGGGGTCCAAGCTTGCATACGAGGCTTGGACAATTGGTGCGGTCACCTCACCCGTACCGCGTCTAGGTGGAATAGACCCATGCCAGCACGACATAGCCGATGGCCTCGTCACCGCGTGCCATCCACGGTCAACCTGATCAACTGCGTTCCGCCATCGAACAAATCTAACCCCCAACATCCAGACCACCAACCAAGCCAATCACCCTACCAACCACTTCACCTCGTCGTGGTTCGGCTTCTCAGCTAACAGCCCACAAATCGCGGTTCGGTCCATCTTCCAGCTTCGGCTGTTTCCGTGCCTGATCTTTTAGCACCCCAACCTTAGCCTCCCATTAACGCTAATCCAAATCCACCCGTAACTCGAGTTGCTCCTCCTTCTCATCACTTTCTCCGCATAAAGCGCACTGCTCTTCTCATTTGCATCACGAAAAAACATCCGTTGACGGATTCAGTCTATAGATCTCAGTCGACAAAAGCACTACCTTGCTGCAAACGACGTCCTTTAGACTAAGCGACTCTTCTATTCGTAACTTAAAAGGCTTGAACTATCTGGATCTGCTTACCATGGCAGGCATAACATCAGCGCGCCTCTTGATATCGCCAGCACCAGCAGCGATAGCGTCTTCTCGCCTCATCCCCACCGCGCAATGCGTGAAGCTGACTCCTTTCCTCGTGTCCCCGGCCACTCAGCGGCTCCTCCGCTCCGCCGCGCAGCACCTCTCTGCCAGGCAGGGCGCCAAACGCGGTGGTGCTCTCACCGCGCGATGCGATCTCACCGGCGGCGCCGGCCTGGGTCCCGAAGAGCTCGACGCGTTTGTAACCGCCGTCAAGTCCGTGAGCGACGCGGCTCCACACGACGTCAACTCGTTAATGACCCTCGCTGTAGGACTCGGGTTACCATGTAACGTCATGGAATGCGGCGACGCGATTTACCTCTCGAGTCTCGCGCACGAGCACCACTTGACGGCGGCCGGCGCGGCGCTTCTGCTTCAAGTCGGCGCGTATCTCTGGGCCACGCCGGGAGTCGCGGCGGGTTACTGGGATATGTTCGTTCTCGCTAAGATCGACCGTTTCTTTCGCAAAACGTACAAGCGATCGGATCTCATTCTCGGGAAGAAGATCGGCGAGGGTGGGTTCGGATCGGTGTACGTCGGTACGCTCGCGAAGGATCCGGAGTACAAGGTGATCGTGAAGCGCGCCACGGAGTTTGGTGACGTGGAGCTCTGGATGAACGAGCGCGTGCGCCGCGCGTGCCCGGACGTTTGCGCGGAGTTTCTGGGCGGATTCATGGTGAAGGGGGGCAAGGGGAAGACGGGCGCGGGTAACTTTTTGGCTTCCGCGGCTGCCAGCACGTCTGACGAGGTGTGGTTGGTGTGGCGATACGAAGGCGACTCGACGTTCGCTGATGTTCTAACGGACCGCGACTTCCCGTATAATGTGAGTTAAGAGACACACCGGAATAACCCCATCGTTGATGTTTACACACTTTTGGCCCTTTGAAACAACTGGTTCGTTATAATACTTGTGCTCTATATCCTCCGTATAAACGGTTTCGACATCCTATATTTATCTTGCCATGAGCAGATCGAGAAGACGCTCTTCGGCAATCAGGCGCCGCCGGCGGACGAGCCACGTGGCCCGGAGAGGGAGCTCCACGTGGCGCGCGAGATCATGCGGCGCCTTCTGACATCCCTGGAGAAGCTGCACAGCCAGGGCATCGTGCATCGCGACGTGAAGCCCGAAAACATGATCTACTGCGAGGAGAAGGGCGCGCTCAAGATCATCGACCTGGGTGCGGCCGCTGATCTGCGCGTGGGGATCAACTACGACCCCGACCAGTACCTGCTGGACCCCCGGTGAGTCACCACGATGCGTGCATCGCGACGTGAAGCCCGAGTGTGTTTTGAGTCGACTCAAAGCTGCACGGTCAGGGCATCGTGCGATGCATCGTGCATCGCGACGTGAAGCCCGAGTGTGTTTTGAGTCGACTCAAAGCTGCACGGTCAGGGCATCGTGCGATGCATCGTGCATCGCGACGTGAAGCCCGAAAACATGATTTACTGCGAGGCGAAGGGCGCGCTCAAGATTATCGACCTGGGCGCTGCGGCGGATCTGCGCGTGGGGATTAACTACGACCCCGACCAGTACCTGCTGGACCCCCGGTGAGCCCCTATCCGCCCCTAGCCACACTGCACTTGAAGCGGTGAATCCCAAACGCGACTGGTGCGATCGGTCCCAAAGGGAGTATACATCATGAGCGTGACCACCCAGCGTACCGCTCCTCATCCCTCTCCAATCCTCCCTACCGCCGTGTTCTCCGTGATGTTCCCCCCATGCAGCTACGCAGCACCGGAGGAGTACATTATGAGCACGCAGACACCAAGCGCGCCGCCAGCCCCTGTTGCTGCCGCCCTCGCGCCCGTCCTCTGGCAGGTAAACCCCTCCCCGCTCCTCCCCACCAACCCCGAAAACCCTCTTCTGAGCACCATCTGACATGTCTAAACGCCCCCGTTTGTGATTAAGGGTTTTTCGAGGTTTGGAGGCTTTCAGATCGTTTTGAGCTTGCTGCTACTCCCAACATGAACCTTGATCTCTTCTGAGCACCATCTGACATGTCTAAACGCCCCCGTTTCCCTCGGAGGGTCTCGTCTCTTACCTTTCTCTTTGTGAGCCACGAAGGTTCTCCTCAGTCAAGCAAATCACCTGATGCGAAATTCCAGTCCCGTATTCTTACCCGCCCCTCTTAACACGTCTTCCTTATCACCTTCCAACCCCTTTTCCCCTCCTTAAACCGCTTTTCCCACCAGATGAACCACCCTGACCGCTTTGACATGTACAGCGCTGGGCTCGTCTTCCTACAAATGCTCTTCCCCTCCCTCCGCTCCGACACCGGTCTCGCCGCCTTCACCCGCCAATTCAAAAAGCTCGACTACAACCTGTCCGCATGGCGCGAAAAGTTTGAGCTCCGGGCCACAGCGGATGATATGCGGCGCCTTGAGCTACTCGATGAGAATGACGGCCATGGCTGGGGGTTGCTTGAGGCGATGCTGAGGAAAGAAGGGAAGAGGAGGATTAATGCCAAGGCTGCGCTCGCGCATCCGTTTTTCCACATGCGGGAGGCGAGGTTGTTGAAGGAGATTCGGAATGGGCTGTTTGTGCCCGGGCCTGCGCATTTTGAGGGGGATGAGCCGCAGGCTTGGGTGACGGACCTGATGGCTAGGTCCGGCACGCAGGAGGCAGGTGGGTTCACGGAAGTTTCGCTCCAGATGTTCAAGAGAAACGAGCGGCGGCAGCAGAGGAAGAACAGGAAGCGCACTGACCCGTCCCCAGCCACCACAGAGGGCTCTGCCAGCACAGGGCAGCGCGACAACTCGTGGTGGAATGTGCTCGAACCACCCAGGTGAACGGCGGGAAGGTTGGAGTTGAAAGGAGTGCTGTGACTCACCTGCTGGTCTCTCGTGGATGGAGTTATAGAGGGGAGACAGGCAGTGTGGAAAGAGGGGTGGGAGCAGGGGTGGTGGAGGAGGGTCCATGCTGGTCACTGAAGTGAAGGCGAGAGATCCCTGCCTGAAGTGAGGATAAGGTGGAAGGGGAGGGCGTTGTGTATGACAGCATGGGGGTGTTGCCAGGGGAGGAGACTTCATGCCACACAACCCCGCACAAGCCAAGAGAAGAAGCTTCACGATATAGTTTTGGATTACACAGTGAATTCTGTTTTCCCGTACATAGCAAGTTTTCGTGTGTCTGAATTAACTAGATTCTGCTACTGCACATTCAATGTGCGTTATGCAAGACGTACCGTATTATTTTTTATGCTTGTATACCAGATGAGTCTGCCCTTATTTGAAACAGCTTGTGGTTGCCCTGAAACACTGCCAAATCAATCCGCCTGCTCATGTTACAGCCAATCAAAAAGCAGGTTAATATATCTGGGATATGAGGACCAATGAATAAAAAAACGAAAACAATAATTAATGCAACATCTAATAGGAGGGACTTTACTGCCCCCTGTACGGGATGGCCCGGCTATCTATTGTGCAAGTGCAATTAGACTGCGCTCACACCAGCCAATGGGATTGTCTAACCGATACTCTGCTCTCATGGTTCTTGATCATGCCGCTGGCGCCATGGATACCTGTGCCACCCTCTGCTGTCGCTGCTCCTGCTGCCGCCGCCTCCGCTGCCACGCTGCCACTGCTGCCAATCACACCAGCCAATGCATTTGCTTAACCAATACTCTGCCCTCCTGGTTCTTGGTGATGCTGCTGGTGCCATGGATACCTGTGCCACCCTCTGCTGATGCTGCTGCCGTCTCCGCCACTGCTCCTGCCATCTACTCCGTCCGCACCTGACCCTTCATACTCGTTTCCCTCCCCGCCTCCCCCTTGAATCACAAGTGATGTCTGGGTTAACTCAAGAGAACTGTGCATGGTGCTGCTGCTGTCCTCTCTCCCAACCCTCGCACCCAAAGCAGCAGACTTAACTGACTTCTCAGGGCCAGGCCTGTCGTCCACTCCACTCAATAACCCAGCTCTGCTCACGTACACCGTATCTGGACTCCCTGCTAAGGACCCACGCACGCTCACCCTCTTCCTCTTCCTCCTCCCCCGTTTCCTGTTGTTTCTCGCTCTCTCTTCCCTCGCCCACTCCGCCACCTCGCTCTCACTCGGACCCCGCAACACGCACCCTGCGTCCTCGCCGCCCGGCCGCCAGTTTGACTGGATAAGCCAGCGCATGCCGCCCTGCCCCACCATGTTGTAGGCATACCTGTCCCCCACTGTCCTTATGCTGCTGGAAGGGCCGAAGTCAACCTGACGAGGGCAAGGGGCGGGGGATGAAGACAAAGAGAAAGGGGGAAATACAGGTGATCTGACTGCACACAACCCACCCTCTTTTAGGAATAGCTTTCCCCCACTTCCTAATGCTGCTGCTGCTGCTCTAGTCAAAGGGAGGTGCATGTGCAGGAGCAGGGGCGGTATGGAGTGGCTTTGCGACTCATAACACATGCCTCTTTATGATGTACCCATCTTTTTGTGATCAAATTATTCTACATAACCCCCTCGCCCCCCCTCCTGCCCCTCCCCTCCTGCCCCTCCCCTCCCTGCCCCCCCTCTTCCCCCATTGCCCTGCTCCACCCCACGCACCTGGCACTTGTCAGCATTCTCCTGCCCTTCGTCATCAAACCACCCTCGGGTGAACACAGGATTCGTGGCCGCTTCTGCAATCTCATGCCCCACAATGCTCACCATGCCGTCCACCCCTCTCCACCCATTCGCACTCCCCCGCATCCCAAACCCTCTCCTACACCCACTGGGACACTGCTCCTCCGCGTTCCCCACGAATGCGAATTTGAGAATCTTCCGGGAGACTTCAGCGTACGAGTGCCACCCGCAGTAGGTTCGGCAGAAGCCGGAGTTGGGTCGAGAGGATCCGAACCTGACGTCCGCGCTGGAGAGGACGAGGTACTGGGCTCGAGAGGATCGGGGGAAGGTTCGGTTGGCCAGCTGAGCAGCAACAACTGTGAGCGGGCTTGGGTGGAAGATAATAACATACGGGAAGGAGGTTGGAAATGGTACAAACACGGGATTAGAGATAAGAGTGAGAAAGGATAAAACTGTGGGGTTGGAAGAAGTATGGGGATAGGGATAAGAGGAAATGAACGAAGAGCGTGAGAAGGTGGAAAACGACTACGAAAGAGGAGATCAGAGGAAGACGGACATTACAGAAGAACGAGGAAGACGTGATTATAACAAAGTGCTACAGTATCTCACTGTTCCATACTCCTTGCATGTCGTTAGATACGTCCTTCCCCAGAGAGTACCTGTCCCGCACTGACCCTCCCAGGCGAACCTGTAGGTGCGTGGGCAGCAACACTTGGGTTTATGTAAGAGTTATAAACTGTGAGAAGGTGGTGAGAGACGGGGAGCAAAGAAGATTAAATATGGAAGCAAGTTGAAAAAGAAAAGATGGATGGGCTTTAAGAGAAAGAAAGTCCATCAGCTTGAACAGGTGGGACAGGCTCACCTGGGAGGTCACTCGTTTCCTGCCTTTCTGAGTGTACCACGTGTTGATCCTCCACCAATCCGCCACTCTTGCAAGATTCTCTTCCTGCCACGTCAGTTGGAAGTAATATAAGCACAAGTAAGCGGGGAATGTAGGTTAGTGCAAAAGCGAGAATGGGAGAATGCATGGCAGATGCACTTATGTAGCACGGGTTCACGCATGATGAAGTGATGCATAGCAGAGGAATGGAAACGCACTGACCCTCCTGCTTTTCTTACACTGGGCGTCGTTGTCGTATTAGAGAGCGAATGGATGAAGTTCTTCACGATGCGCATCTGGCTCTTGCGCCATGAGCCATAGAAGATTACATACACCGTGATTGGCCGAGTCATGAGCTTCCCGCCATGGTACTTGATTGGAAGCTGCTGATCCGCAGAATCTGAAGCGCCAGTAGCAACGACAGCACCAACCCCATCACCAGCACCAATAGCTCTTGCACCAGAACCACCAGCAACAGCAACAGCAGCAGCAGCAGCAGCAGAAGCAGTAGCAGAAGCAGAAGCAAAACCAGCAGCTTTTCTCGCAGCCGCCCGTCTACTCCATACAGTCCGTGCCATCGCCTCGTCCACAGTCACAATTTCCCGAGGATCCATGGCTCTGCGAGGATATCGAGACGTCTCAGCCTCGTCTACAGTCACAATTCCCCGAGGATCCAAGGCTCTGCGAGAGAAAGATTCGCTCTGCGCAACGACTGCACCTGAAACTCCGACTCGATCATGGCTTCCGCTCATACTACCTCCCACCAGACGCGCATCCCCGAGGCGCGTTTGACGTTTAGCAGTTGCATCGAACGTTTTAAGCGAGATCAAATCGCTCCGGAAGCTGGATCGAGTATAGAGTGGAGTGACGCTGACAAGGCCGGACGGGTGCGCGTCGAGCAACCAGAGAGAGGAGTTTGCTGGCCTTGGGAGTTGTGCGGATGGGGTGGATGATTTGGGAAAGGCGAGGAGTGAGAGGAGGAGGATGAGACGAGAGTTGAACATCCTACCCGCTGTGTTCAGAAATTAAGAAGAGGGTACAACATCCTAAAGCGTCCGGACTCAAGAGATTTGGCACAGAATGTGTGGCCTGCGCGATGCATATTGGAGTATAGAAGATGCTTATGAGACCATGCTGTTAGAAACTGGACAGAATTTGTGGTTCTGCCACGTAAAATTACCACCCCCCAAGAAATAATGTTCAGGGAACGATGATCCCGGAGGAGATGGTTTCAACAAGAATGATACTGAGGCACATGAGTTCGAGCAACATGATCCCGATGATGACTTCCAAGGACTAGTATGGAAGCGACTGGTGGGGAACACTGGTGGGTATGTGTCGGAAATCGATGAAACTTGATTCTTCTCGTTCAGCTCGCCACTTCCATGGTTTGCGACGAACAGCGGGGCGCATTATTGACGATGGGGGAGGTGGGACTGTTTTGCGAAGCGTCATTACTTGCTCTGGCAGATATCCTTGGATTTTGTACATCTGCGATGGCCGCTGCGACGATCATGGTAACAAGGTTGTTGGGGTAGGTGGCATGACAAGGGCATGAGTTCAGAATTGAGCAGGTGAAAGCATGCAAGCTACGGTAGTAGTGGTATCCAATGATAGAAGAATCAATATAATCTATAATGCAGTCTAAATACAAGAACAAAAAAAACTGTAGTTCTAGTACGTCTGAAAAACACCCATTACGTAACTAGCTAAAAATACCAGACTAGTTACTTTTATTACCGGACAGCACTTATTGTGTGCCCCTTGACGTCTCACTAATGAGCCTTCACATATAGACATGGGTCCGTAATTGGCTAGGCGTCCTCCTGCTCTCCAAGAGCTTGTTGGCTGGCCGCACGCTCCGACAGACGAACAGCCATGTGAAAGGAGGCTCGCACCTTGTTCCTCGCCATGTGAAAATCCTCAAATTGCTTAGCCAAGCTACAGGAAGCTCTTCCATTGCTGGCATGATCGGGAAGCGCAATTGCTGGTTCCGCTATGCGATCAGCCATGGCTGCTGCAGGATCGGCCCAGGAACTCTGTACAGCAGAAACCGCAAACGAGCAGCGCACAAAGGATGGAATACGAACTGCAGAACGTTCTCTCGAAGGATGAGCAGGTTCGAAGCAGCCGACAAGGGTCGGAGTGCTCTTTCCTGGCCTGTCTTCGCTGAGAGGTTTGGTCGGAGGCGCGGCCCGAAGCGGCAAGTTTGTCGACGTGCGGACCTTCTTGGGACCGTTGAACGCCCCGAAGCGCTTTTCAAGGCTCGGATGCTCGTTTGTCGCAAGGTGCGGAAGCGACATGGCAGGCGAAGCTTGACATCCGCTAGAAGCGTGAGATACGGTAGCATTTTCCATAATGCTTCGCAGGTAATCAGCGGCATTTGTGACCTTGCACAAGCCTGTCGCTTCAGCCAGCGTAGGAACGCGGGACACGGCAATCGTGCTGCTGATGGTTGTAGCGGCGAGGACGGTCGACGTCGCGCCGGGGTTGACGGACGCCACGTAGCACGCCAGCGCCTCGACTTGACCGCCAATTTCGGAATTGAGATGGGCGGTCGGCGCCGGGAGGGATGGAAGTGGGGCGCTGCGACGCTGGTTGACGTGGTCGCCGCACGTTAGCGCGGCATTGGCGGCGCGTTCCGCGGCGCAACGCTGGGCGACGCGGAGAAGGGCGAAGGACAGTTGACAGGCGGCTGGCATGAGCGCTGAAATCATGGCTTTCCCTCCTTGATTGACCATTGCCGGAGCCGCCATCAGATTCCGCTGTATGATGGTAAATGATATCGGAAAGGGCAAGCGAGGTAAAAAGATTTGGGGAATCCAGGAAATAACCACTGCCGAACAACGTACTACGTAGTACCGAAGATGTATTCTAAGCTAGGTCGTTTTGAAGAGGGAGCAGAAAGTGTAGGAATGGCAAGACAAGAAACAGGAGTCCACTCAAGGTAGTATGGGTAGCAGTGTCAGTTGTGGGAGAAGCTTGCTGAAATGTGGGTGCTGTAAAAGCTGGACCGTGCGGCCCTAAATGCGTTCTGCTCGCTCCCCCAATGAGAGGGGGCTGGGCTCTCTGTTTGCACGAGCATTGACCCAGTGGGACTCGTTCCCCCGTGCACACCCTTTTTCGGTGATGGTGCTGCTGTGAAAGCGGTCAGGCCAGCATTCAGCAGCAGCCGCACTCAGCTCGATCAGGGAAAGCGAAGAGGTCCAGCTAGGAAGGTTAATTGGGGTGCAAGTTGTGCAATGTGCCGTACACACGCCAGAAACGCACTTTTCTATAAAAAGGAGCGGGCAGACCGATCTTGCTCACCTCAATGACTTGGGCTGACTCGAAAGCAGGGTATTGGGCGCATATGATGCCCGCTTACGACAAAATCTCACGTGTGTACAGCTGGCCTGCAGTGGCGCTTTGCTCTGCTGGATTTCTGCTTCTGTGTGACGAGTGCCGCGTTGGATTCGAGTAGAGACGTGGCAGTTGACGACTAGAGAAAGCGAATATCCGCATTATCTTTCCACGTCGTTCCACGGTCGACTTGCATGTGTCCACTATAACAAGATTAGGCTACAAGGGCCAACAAAACACACTACATATTGCAGCCGATATCTCATGTATGAGCAAATCAGAAGACAACCATTAGGTGTTTGAAAAGGGACTTTATAGTTTTTATTTACAGTAAGCCTTGTGTGATTAAAATTCAAATAAAAGATAATTATAAATGAATTACAACATATGATAATTATGTATTGAGTGTTATGTGAATCCTATCTAAAGTGAGCATACACTAACTTGGTGTACGCAACAAAGTTGCAATGAACAATGGTAGGCACAAAGCCGTCGTTGTCGAGCCAAGCCACCTCTCCAATTCAGTCGTCGGCGAATGACAAGCTTCCAAACAGACCGCATGCTTGCTTATTGGTCGTCGATTCACTAGTTCACCCACAAAAGAGGGAACAAGAGAAACTAGGGCGAGCCTCTTCTTCGTTATTTCGTGATTTCGCAAGCTTATCGCCAGCTTATGGTATATCCGTTTGGTAACACACGTCCCAGCCAAACCACCCCTTCCAGAGAGGGCACTAGGTGTTCATTCACATTGGCATGGCCTGCTCGATTCTGTTGCACGTTTCTGCCTTGTCCCTATTTCTGCTTCTTCCGACCTCCACTTTTTCCACATTCCCAACATTCCCTTCACAGTTTCCTTATTTCTCCTCAACTCCAAATCCTCCTTGCCTGTGCTATCTTGCTGGTTCCCCAACCACTCAGCCTTCGTGCTACATTGACCTGCCAGCTCGTCGCAACGTTTCGTCGGTTGGCATCAGTAAACTCGCCTTCAAGTTAGCTGAGCTGCTGGTCAAGCTCTGCGCTGGGCTCTCGCATCAACTGGGTCCTGCCTGGAAGGAAGGTTATCAATTTAGCAACTACCACAACCGTTTCATCGTGAAGAAGAAGAAAATTACTCTGTTAAACTTCTGCGTGTTCAAGGCGCTAGCTTGCGACGGTTTGAGCAGCGTTAGGAACATCTGAAAATTTACCCTTCCGTTTAGTGTTTTTTTTTTTTTAAACCAGTCCTGCAAGCATGCATCGGATGGTGAGTCCTCCCCCGGGCTTCGCGCCAGTCTCGAAATTGGTGACTCCGACGGCGATAATGGCTCCATCTACCACCGCGTCTAACGGAGCCGTGCAGGAGAAGGGGAATTATGCGGCTCACGAGAGAGCGAACTCCGTGTCGAGTCCTGATGGATCTGGATTTGACGGCAGCCCTAATTCCACCAAGGTAAGCATTTTATGTTTTCGTACGTTCTTTAACTTTGAAGAACTCTTATCAGTTCTGTTTCCCCGTTGCGTTTCCTTTTTTTTTTTCTCTAATTCCTTTTTTTGCTGCGATTCCCTCTGCTTTCAGGAGCCAGACAAGGCCTCAGCACCTGCGAGCGGTCTTACCGACGTAGCCTCTGCATCGGGTTACCACGCTAGGCGAGCAGCTGCGAGGTCGGTGGCGACTCCCCATCCTCACCCGCACCCGACAGAAGACATCAAACCAATTCAGCCGCGCGGTCCCGACGGTACTCGCGGCTTCAAGTACGGCCGCGGAAAACCGTTACCTGGGCCTAACGGGGTGCTGGTAACTGGTAACACCAGTGCTCCCCCTTCCACCATCGGCTCTCCTCCGCAGTATGTTTCCGGGGCTGGCGGCGGAGCAGGCGCGTACGTTGGCGCGGGGAGCGCGCTCAGGCGCGGGGGAGCCCGCGGGATGGGCGCGGGGGGAGAGGCGGAGAAGCTAGCGGGAGAGGTGGAGCGGTTGGCGGGCGAGAAAGACAAGGTGGAGAGTGAGTTAGCGGAAGCGAAGCTTGAGGTGCAACGCCTGCAACACGACCTTTTCGTCTCTCGATTCGAAGCCGAAGGGCTGCGGCGTCGCCAGCAGACCGCGACCGGCGGCGACGACGGCGGTGACGGTGCGGATGGTGAGCGGAAGGGTGGCAAGGAAAGCAAGGATGCGGGCGAGGGGGAAGGGAAGGGTGAGGATGGGGGAGGTACGGAGGGAAGTAAGGAATTAAAACACTCCTTGTCCGAGGCTAGGATGGAGATAGTGCGGCTCGAGCACGAGTTATTCACTCTTAGGTTCGATGCGGAGAAGCAGCGCGTTCTTGCGGAGGAAGCGGCGGCTGGAACTGGCGGAACGGAAGGGGGAGCAGTAGGCGGAGCAGGAGGCGGAGCCAAGAAGGTGAGTTCGACGAGGGACTTGGGCGCGGGGGGCGCGGATGCATCCGCGGAAGGACTGGCGCAGAAGCTTGCGCGCGCGGAAGAGGCGCTCGAGGAGTCTCGGTGCGAAGCTTCGCGGCTGCAGCACGAGCTGTTCGAGGCAAAGTTCCAAGTGGAAAAGCTCCGGAGCGCGCAGGCGGACGCGCGTGCCGCTGTCGATCAGGCGTTGAAGGAACGCGCGGGAGAGAAGGGCGGCACGGGAGCGGGCGGAGGGGAAGGAGGGAAAGAAGGCGAGAAGGAGAATGAGGAGGGGGGGGTTGAGGAGAGTTTTGCGGAGTTGGAAGCGGTTGTAGCACGCGAGGGGTGTCGGCTCTGTGTGCGTCTGCTGGCCGCGTTTTCCGGCGCGAAAAGGCGCGCGGATGCGGCGGAGAAGGTGATTGGGCAGGACCGCGCGGAGCTCGAGGGGCTGCGGAACGGGCGGGAGGAGGTTCGCGCCGCCGCCGCCTCTGCTGCCGCCGCCTTCGCCGCCGCGTCCGCCGCAGGGCAGGAGGCGGCGCAGAGGGAGCGGCAGAACTGGGAGCGAGCGGAGGAGGCGGAGAGAATGCATGCCGCGAGTAACTCCTCCGCCGCAGCCGCGATTGCGGCAGCGGTGGCGGAAGCGGTGGCGCTGCGCGCGCGCTGCGCGGAGCTAGAAGGGCAAGCGTCCGCTGCATCGTCGGAAGCGGCCGCCGCGAAGGAGCATTTGAAGCAGGTGGCCATGGCTATCAGCGAGCGGAGCCTGCACAGGGCTGTAGCAGGGCAGGACGAGCACCCCGCGCTACAGCCGTTTGGCGCAGCGCAGGGCGCGCCGGGCAGCGGATTGTGGGGCGCAGGGGACATGGAACACACCACGGATCGCAGCACTGGGCGCGACGGTAGGTGGGACTTCGGGCAAGAGATGGGGGTGGGAGGCGGAGCAGGGGCGCAAGGCGCGCAAGGGGCGCAGGGGGGGCAGGGGGCGCAGGGACATCAGCTGTGGGACCCGTCGACCCTTGACCCTGCTATCTCTGCCTTCTCCTCCGGCTCTCGTCCGCCCCCCTTCGCTGCCGCTCAACCTCCCCCGCTCCCGGGACAGTCTCTTGACCTCCACTTGCAGCAGCAGCAGCAGCAACAGCAGCAGCAACAGCAGCAACACCAGCAGTTTTCCGGCGGGTTAGGGTTTGGCGGCCTGCCTCCGCACATGTCCCCTCCTCCCCACAGGCAGCACCCAGGCGCGCTCCCCCCTGCGGACGCCGCCATGCATGCGTTTCTAAGCGATAGCCAGGGCCCTCCAGGGCAATCCGCGCCCTTAGGCGCGCAGTTTCCCCCACCCTCAGGGTTTGCGCTTGGGGGAAGAATACCCTCCCCCGCTCCCCCTGGCGCCATGGGGTATGCTCCTTCTAGTGGGGGCATGGGCGTGGGTATGGGCGTGGGTATGGGCGCGGGCATGGGCGCAGGTCATCTGGCCCCTCCGCTTCCTGTTGCTCTCACAGAAGAGGAGTTGCTGATGCAGCTGAGTGGCGGAGGAGGAGGGGGAGGTGGGCAGGGGTTGGTGGCGCAGCAACAGCAGCAAGCGTTCCAGCAGCAGCAGCAGCAGCAGCATCAGCATCAGCAGCAGCAGCAGGTTCAGCAGGTGCAGTTTCAGCTACAGCAGCAGCAGCTGGAGCCACAGCAACAGCAGCCGCAACCGCAACAGCAGCAGACGTGGCAGCAGCAGGAGTTGCTGCAGCATCACCAGCACCAGCAGCATCACCACCACCCCTCGCACCACCACCACCATCATCCTCACCACCAGCAAAACCAACAGCAGCACCACCACAATCAGCACCATCCCCACGAGCAACACCACCAGCAGCAGCACCAGCAGCGGTCTTCCCTCATCCCCACTGCCGTACTCCTTGCAAGCAGCCCCGCTGAAAGCAGCAGTCCCGGACATCGTGACGGCTTTTACGATCTACACCACAGCGCAACCGCCGCAGCCGTCACTGGTAGAAGCAGCATCAGCAGCATCGGCAGCACCGGCAGCAGTAGTGGTATGATGATGATGATGGGTGGTGGTGGTGGAGGAGCGGATAATCTAGCCCCCCCTCCTCCCCCGCCTCTCAACTCATGGGCTGCTGGTGGTGCTGGGAGTGGGCTCTGGGGTGGTTTTTGAGTCGATTTAAAAGCAGCAGCATCAGCAGCATCAGCAGCATTGGCAGCATTGGCAGCATCGGCAGCATCGGCAACCCTTTCTCCTGCCCGGCTGGCCTCTTAACTTGTGGACAGCTGTTGGAGCTGGGAGTGGGCTCTGGAATGGTAGAGGCTGGGAGACGATGCAAGCAAGGTACTGAGGCCGCTCTGAATGGGTATGGCCGGGAGTGTGGTTGAGGAGGGTTGCTGTTGCAGCTCACACTTGCGCGTGGGGAAGAATGGAAAATAGTCTTTATCACTTGGAAGCTACCGGTACTCTGGCTGATGTACATCCTATCTGGAATGGTTGTGTTGACTGTTTTGCTGACTGTCTTACGGAGCTTAGATTTAACATCTCAGATTGTGTGTCTGGTGCTATGTGCTTGCTTACTGTGTCTTCCAACTAGCATTTTATTTGCGCCATACCATAAGTTGGGCATTTTTGTCTCAGAAGCACATTGTCATGCTGGGTTGCCATTGCCAGCCAGTTGTGTTGGTATGTACAGCCCTGGACGCATTATGGTACTGTATGACGTTATTCAGCACTTCAAGCATATTGTTATAATCAGAACAATCTCGAAATGACCACACCACATCACTATACTGATCAGACATGAAAACAGAGAAGACTTATTATTACCCAGGAATCTTTGTGGTCCTATGGAACAAAATCTCAACATGAGCTCGGATGAACTAGGAGAGAACAGCACGGGTGTTCGGTTTAGGAGAGAGTAGCACAGCCCTCTGGTTTAGGAGAGAGTACGGTAGCATGAGCGCCCTGACTGAGCCTCCTTGGCGATGCTGATAAACACGTCTTCCAGGGTTGTGTTGGCTTGTTAAGACTTTGGCAGTCCTAAGAAGAGAATCAGCTGGGCTAAGACAGAGCAGCATGAGCGCCCTGAGCCTCCTTGGCGATGCTGATGAACACGTCTTCCAGGGTTGTGTTGGCGATGCCCCACGCACGTATCGATATCCGTGCCTTGGCCTCGGCTACTGTTGCAAACACATCTGCCATGTTCACCTGCAGAGGGGGGGAGGGGTTGAAGGAAGGGAGCCAAAGGCTTATGAAGTCATCCTCAAGGGTTATGTTGGCGATGCCCCACGCACGTATCGATATCCGTGCCTTTGCCTCTGCCACTGTTGCAAACACATCTGCCATGTTCACCTGCAGAGGGTGGAAAGGGGAAGGAACAATGGGGAGTGGAAGGGGTGGCAAGGAGAAGTGAGATAGAGGTCTATCTTGCTAACACTTCTACCATGTTGCAGTAGGGAAGGGTGGAGGGAGGGGAGGAGGGGGGGAGTGGAGGGAGGGGATGGGAGGAGCGGGGAGGAGAGGGGCGATAGGGGGAGGGGAGGGGAGGGGAGAAGGGGAAAAGGAGAGGGGGATTGCAGCAAGGAATTGCAATGGAAGGAGAAAGCAGAGGCAGGGAGATGGATAGAGAAACCTATCAGTCTATTCCCCAAACCAAACTCACATCTGCAGTGGGCAGCTCAAACTTTTGCGTGCCCGCGAGGCTGTAGACCTTCTTGGCATTGGGCGAGAGCGACTTCGCCAGCTCAGCAGCCGCCTCCTCCTCTTCGGCCGGCGTGGTGACAGTAAAGACAAACGACCCGCCGTACCGCGACGTCAGCTGCCTCGGGTTCCCGATGCACTCAAACTGGCCGTCCACGAATATGCCCAGACGGTCACACAGAGCCTCTGCTTCTTCCATGGAATGGGCTGGGGAAAGGCAAGAGGGAGGGGGGGAAAGGGAAGAAGGAGAAGGGAATGGACGTCAGCTGCTGCGGGTTCCCAGTGCACTCAGCCTGGCCGTCCACGAATATGCCCAGACGGTCACACAGAGCCTCTGCTTCCTCCATGGAGTGGGCTGGCATGGAGATGAAGGGAAAGGGAAAGAGCGAGAAAAGGAGAGAAAAAGGGGTAAGGAGAAGGAGGTTAGCTGCCGCGGTTTCAAAATGAACTGGGAGTGGCCACTGACAGATAAGCTCAGGGAAGCACAGTAGACAACTTCTCAAAAGCTGCTGACAGAAAAGCTAAGCTCAGGGAATCACAGTAGGCCTATTTTTGGCAAGACAAGACAACCACTCACACATGAGCACCACTCACTGGTGAGAACACAAGAAACCACACACCACCGCTTCAAACGACACAGCACCACTCTGAAACCACGCGGCACCTCTCACTGGTGAGCACGATAGCCGAGTCCTTCTTGGCCTCTTTGACCACGGCCCACAGGTTGTAGCGCGATGCCGGGTCCAACACTGCACTCTGTGCCACCCGCCTGCGCTACAGCGTGAAACTACACAGCAGCACCTGGAACCACACAGCACCTCCTGGAACCGCACATCACCGTCCGAAACCACACAGCGCCACTCACTGGTGAGCACGATAGCCGAGTCCTTCTTGGCCTCCTTGACCACGGCCCACAGGTTGTAGCGCGATGCCGGGTCCAGCCCCGTGCTGGGCTCGTCCATGTAGACCACCTGCATAGGGGGGAAAGTGGGGGCGAGAAGGAAAGGAGAGGGGGGTGGGGGAAGGGGTGGGGGAGGAGGGAGGGAGGGGAGGAGGAAGGGGTGGAGAAAGTGGGGGAAAAAGGCTTTGAGGCTAGACAAGCGCGATCTCGTGCACTAGCAGTCGAATTCAGAATGCTGAGACTTGAGATTCAAGACTTGAGATTCGAGACTTGAGATTCAAGACTTGAGATTCAAGACTTGAGATTCAAGACTTGAGATTCGAGGTTTGAGAGTCGAGGTTTGAGAGTTAGTCAGGGAAGGCAAGAACCACAAGAACACTCACGGGTGGCTTGCTGATGAGGGAGATGGCCACAGACAATCCGCGTGTGATGAGTCTGCCATTCATGGACGAGTCTGCCTTTGAGTCGACTCAAAAACGGAAAGAGAACTCACGGGAGGCTTGCCGATGAGGGAGATGGCCACAGACAGGTGTCGCTTCATCCCTCCGCTGTACTTGCCGGCCTGCTTGTCCGCAGCACCTCCCAACGCAGCAGGCAAAGGTTACAGGAGCACTCACAGGGGGCTTGCCAATAAGGGAGATGGCAACAGACAGCCGCCGCTTCATGCCTCCGCTGTACTTCCCAACCTTCTTGTCCGCAGCACCCCCCGCCAGCAGGTTGACGCTTTTGAGAGACTCCAGAACCGCCTGCTGCAGTGCCTGCCCGTGCAGGTTTCTGAAGCACCTAAAACAAACTCACGGGTGGCTTGCCGATGAGGGAGATGGCCACCGAGAGCCGCCTCTTCATGCCTCCGCTGTACTTGCCGGCCTTCTTGTCCGCAGCACCCCCCGCCAGCAGGTTGACGCTTTTGAGAGACTCCAGAACCGCCTGCTGCAGTGCCTGCCCGTGCAGGTTTCTGAAGCACCTAAAACAAACTCACGGGTGGCTTGCCGATGAGGGAGATGGCCACCGAGAGCCGCCTCTTCATGCCTCCGCTGTACTTGCCGGCCTTCTTGTCCGCAGCACCCCCCGCCAGCAGGTTGACGCTTTTGAGAGACTCCAGAACCGCCTGCTGCAGCGCCTGCCCGTGCAGGTTCTTGAGGCGCCCGTAGAAGTAGAGGTGCTCCCTTCCTGTCAGCTGCTCCCATAGGAGACTGGCGGGGGAGGAGAAGGAGGAGGGTGAGGGAAAATTTCGAACGAGGTGAGTGAAGAGAGGGGAGAGAAGGGGAAGTGAAGCGAAACGGTGCCGTGACACAGGATGACTTTTGCGTTGACTCAAAAGTCACCTTGACACAAGAAGCAGCACGAACCCACTCGTGCTGCGGGCACATGCCCATGATGGTTTACACATCGTCCATCTCTTACAGAGTAATCTTCCCCTCTATGAACGCCGTCCCTGACCTGCAGTGCAGGGGTTTGTTTAGTGCTTCAAAAGCACCCTTCAAAGGGGCAGAAAAACTCACTCGTGCTGGAGGCGTACTCACTCGTGCTGCGGGTGTACTCACTCGTGCTGCGGGCGTACTCACTCGTGCTGCGGGCGTACTCACTCGTGCTGCAGGCGTACTCACTCGTGCTGCGGTTTGATGCGGTACAAGGAGCAGAGGAACTCACTCGTGCTGCGGGCACACGCCCATGATGGTGTAAACATCGTCCATCTCCTCCAGAATGTCCTTCCCCTCTATGAACGCTGTCCCTGAGCTCGGCTTCACGAGTCCAATCATCATGTGGATGCACGTCGTCTTGCCCGCCCCGTTCGGCCCCAGCATGCCGAAGCACTCGCCCCGAGCCAGCGCCAGCGACATGGCCCGAACCGCCAGCTTCGGCGGGTTGCCGTCCCTCCCGGGGTAGACTTTCTTCATGTTGTCACAGACAATCGAATAGCCGTGGTCTAGCTGGTCCCTCTGGAGCAGCTGCTGCACCAACTCTCGCTGTTTTGGGGGGATATCCAAGGAGGGAAGGGGAAGAGGAAAGAGTGAGGAGAGGGTGAGCACGGAGAGGTGCCGTCCCTCCCGGGGTAGATTTTCTTCATGTTGTCACACACGATCGAGTAGCCGTGGTCTAGCTGGTCCCTCTGCAACAACTGCTGCACCAACTCTCGCTGTTGGGACAATATCAAAGACGCAAAGAAAGAGGAGGGGAGGAGGGGGGTTTGTGGGTGGGGATGAGGAGGTGTTGTCACTTCCGGGGTAGATTATCCTCAAGGGGCAAAGTGGGTGTGGAAAACGCTTGTTGGGTTGGTCCAGGACATTATGTAAGGATATCCATGACTTAGAAATGCTATCCCATCCGCTCACATCGCCCCCATCATTCCATCACCTCACCTCTGCCATGACATCCTCTCGCTCCTTCTCCGCCTCGACTGCGCCTTTGGCGGAGGCGCGGTGGGAGCGGGAGGCCCTGGAGAGCGTGTTGCCGTGCTTGTGGCGCCCCCTGATGCCGTCAAGGAAGAAGAGCGGATGCTTCCCCGACCCGCCGCCAGTTGGCACCACCTGATTGGACGGGAGGAGACGGGGTGAGACGCAGCGTGTTGATAAGTGGACGTGCCCATGACAGGGAGGACCCGCTGAGCGATTTTTGAAGTGTATGTTTTTTGAGAATTCTCAGAAAACACTCACAAGGTAAGGCTGTCTGCAGAGGACACTTCTCAGGCGGGAATGGGCCTTACCTTTGATCGACTTAATTTGACTGCTTAGGATGCCCATTCCTGCCCGAACCACTTCACATCTGTGGTCCGTGCCACAGAATGTCTCAAGTTCAACACACTCTATCCCACCTCGTTATAGTACAGCCCGCGGCAACCTCGTGCACCAGCAAGACGGTTCACTCCACAGCCATGATGCCCACAGCGCCCCAGCAGCCTCTGGGATCACATCAACCCGTCCTCACTGCACTCAATGTACTCATCTCACTCGGTCACACTCACACACACCCCGGTGGACCCACCTGATCCAAGTAGAGCCCGAGCAGCAGGAAGATGACCCACTCCACAGCCATGATGCCCACGGCGCCCCAGCAGCGGACTACTCCCCAAGCATTGCCCCCTCTTCCCCCCCCCCACCTAGCCAAGACAAGACAAGAGACACACCCCACCTGATCCAGGTAGAGTCCGAGCAGCAGGAAGATGACCCACTCAACAGCCATGATGCCCACGGCGCCCCAGAAGCCATACTCGCCCGCGTTGCTGAAGGTGAGCGTGCCGGAAGTGGCCTGGTAGGCGCCGATAAAGGCGGACTGGGCGAACTCGTACAGCCCGCGGTAGCACGCGAACGGTGGGATGAGCTGTATGGCAAACAGCGCTCCGGCTGAGGTAGGGTGGGGGATAAGGGAGTGGGGAATGTATTTAATGGTGAGCGTGCCGGAAGTGGCCTGGTACGCCCCGATGAAGGCAGGTTGGGAGAACTCGTAGAGCCCGCAGTAGCAGGAGCACAGAGGGATGAGCTGTATGGCAAACAGCGCTTTTGAGTCGACTCAAAAGGAGCACAGAGGGATGAGCTGTATGGCAAACAGCGCTCCAACTGAGTTGGGTGGGTGCGCACCTAAGGGGACACCACCCACCTCAGCCGGAGGGCATGGGGGGGGTTGGGGGTGGTGGGTGATGGGCAGTCAATTTGAAAACTCTAAAAAAGAAAGGAAAAAGAGAACAAATACCAATGCGCGTCTGACCCGCAAAGTCGGCGGGATGAGAGGAAGTACCCAACTAGGGAGGCCACCCGCGAACACATAGAGTCGTGCTTTGAGTGTTCTTGAGTGTTCTTTTGAGACGTCTCAAATTTTCACTTTTTACACGTGCTTTGAGTGTTCTTGAGAATTCTAAAAAATACGCTGAGTTGACTCAACACACTGACCTGGAAAGTCGGGGACTTTGAGGAAATGCCCAATGAAAAACTGAACTGATCCAAGAGGCCACCCACCAACACATAGAGCGGTATAATGAGTCGGCTGAACTCAACGCATGTCTGACCTGGAAAGTCGGGGACTTCGAGGAAATACCCAACGAGAAACTGACTCAAGAGGCCGCCCCCAAACACATAGAGGTACGCAACCACTGCATGGCGCGGGGAGACAAGAGGGAGAGGGGAGGAGGGGAGGAAGCGAGTGGTTTGTTTTAGTAAGACTGTGCTGCTGATTGACTCAAGAGGCCGCCCCCAAACGCATAGCGGTACGCCACCACTGCATGGTGCGGGGAAGCAAGGGGGGGAGGCGGAGTGGGGAGACAGTGATGTTAAGGTGGAGACTCTTTAGCACCGTGCAGCACGATGCAGAGCAGACACATTCGAGGCGGTCTTGGTGAACTTGAAGCAGGTGGCGATGAGAATCGCGATGGTGGAGCTCTTTTAGCACAGTGCAGCACGGGGCAGTGCGGTGCAGCACGGGGCAGTGCGGTGCAACACGGGGCAGTGCGGTGCAATGCTACAAACTCACCCGAGGCGGTCTTGGTGAATTTGAAGAAGGTGGCGACGAGAATGGCAAAGCCGATCTGCCAGTTGCCAAAGACGAAATAGAAGATGAACTGCAGCGCATAGTTGTTGATCCGGAAGAACTTAAGCCCTGATGGAGGGAGGGACGGGGGAAGAGAGGGGAGTGGTTGGATAAGGGGAAAGAGCGAGGTGTGAAAGAGAGAGGGTCAGTCAGACAAAGTAGAAGATGAACTGCAGCGCGTAGTTGTTGATCTGGAAGAACTTGAGCCCTGATGGAGGGAGAGGGAGTGGGGCGAAAATGGGCAAATAAGGAAGGGGAGTGAGGTGAGGAGGAAAGGGGATGGAGCGAAGACGGTTAGAGAGACGAAGTAGAAGATGAACTGCGGCCCGTAGCCGTTGATTCGGAAGAACTTGAGCCTTGATGGAGGGAGGAAGGGGGCAAGGGGAGAGGACAAGAGGGGGAGTGGCCGGATAAGGGGAGGTAATGGAATGTGAAAGAGAGGGTTAGAAAGACGAAGTAGAAGTTGTAGATGAAGGAGAGGAGGAAGAAGTATGTATGGGGAGGCATAGAATGGGGGGGGTAGTCATATTCATGCAAGAGTGTGGTGGGGGGGGGCACGTACCGATGAGGGAGCCGAAGAGGACGAAGAATAGGATGTAGATGAAGGAGAGGAGGAAGAAGTAGGCATAGGAGATGAGCCAGTAGGCGCTGTCTCCCAGCCCGTGCATCTTCATCATCATGCGTAGGTTCTTCTCCTTCTCGTATACCAGGTACCCCACACACACCTGCACAGGTGGGATGCAGTGACAGGAGGTGACAGGGGGTGGAATGGAGTTCCAAACACAAAATGAGTCAGACACACGTTGCCCCGCACATCAAATTTCTTGAGTACTGCATTTGAACAGAAAAAGGGTTTTCGACAAATGGAAGGACGTAGTGGGACGAGAAGGGGAATTGAAAGGCGTACATGGGACTAACAGCACCAATATTCACATGTAGGAAAAAAGACACACAGGGAAGAGCAGGAGGAGAATCCATGGAAGGACATACTGGGAAGAGTAGGAGCCGAATCCATGGGAGGACATACTGGGAAGAGTAGGAGCCGAATCCATGGGAGGACGCACCGAGAAGAGCAGCAGCAGGACCCACATGAAGAAACACACCGGGGCGAGGAGGAAGGAAAGGGAAAGGCTTACCGGGAAGAGCAGGAGCAGGATCCACATGAAGAAGAGCGGGCCGATGATGGAGGCAAAGTCGAGGGTGAGGCCCGTGGAGCCCTTGGGGAAGTCCTTCACGAATAGAAGCGGGAGCTCCGCTGCTGCGCTGAACACCGCTTGGAGGTACGCATTGGTGGCCTGTAATGCCCGGAGGGGAAGGGAGGGGAGGGCAGAGACAAGGGGGGAAAGGACGGGATCGGAGGGAAGGAAGTGCTCTTGACTTAAGGCTGAGCTGCAGTGGAGACCTTGGGGAAGTCCTTCACGAAGAGCAAAGGGAGCTCCGCTGCTGCGCTGAACACCGCTTGGAGGTACGCATTGGTGGCCTGTAATGCCCGGAGGGGAAGGGAGGGGAGGGCAGAGACAAGGGGGGAAAGGACGGGATCGGAGGGAAGGAAGTGCTCTTGACTTAAGGCTGAGCTGCAGTGGAGACCTTGGGGAAGTCCTTCACGAAGAGCAAAGGGAGCTCCGCTGCTGCGCTGAACACCGCCTGGAGGTACGCGTTGGTGGCCTGGCGAAGTCAGGGTGGGAGGGAGTGTAGGGGGGGGGTGGGGGTGGGCGGGGGTTGCAATAGGGAGAGAAGGATTGACAAAGAGTTGAGGGAGCTCCGGCTCTGCTGCTGCGCTGTGGATGTATGCGTTGGTGGTGGCCAAGCGAAGCCAGAAGGGAAGGGAAGGGGAGTGGAAGGGGAAGCGGGGAGAAAACACAAGTCTGTTGCGAGGAAGAGGAAAGAGGATCGATGAGGAGCTGAGGGAGCTAGCCTGTTGCATGGAGCACCAGTTGGTGTTGCGTGGAGCACCAGTTGGTGTTGAATGACACCAGTTGGTGTTGAATGACACGCAACAGGCGAGCTCCCCTCTGCAACCTGTTTCAACAGGCCAGGGCGCATGCGTGTCACCTGTTGGATTGAACACCAGTCGGTGTTAAATGCAACGCATTGGTGGGCTGTCAAAAGCCGAAGAGGAGGTGGAGGAGGAGGAGGAGGGAACATAACAGGCGAGGAGAATTGATGAGGAGCTGGCCTGTGGTTACACTGGCTTGTTTTGTAAACCTTGAGGCAAGCACATCACGATGCGGCCTTGGGTTGCCAAATCATGAGGCGCTGGAAACACACACGACAGGCACAGGCCGAGGCACAGCGAGGGCAAGATAGAGCTACAGGCACAGCCAGCGCCACATGCCACCCCACCATGATCAAAAGCTTGGAAAAACGCAGCACGGCCCTGGGCGTTTTTCAATGCGGCAACTCAAAACCCAAGGCCGAGCTGACACACACCAAGGGCCGCAGCTACGGCTACGGCTACAGCTACAGCTAGAGCTAGAGCTACAGGCACAGGCACAGGCACAGGCACAGGCACAGGCACAGGTACAGGTACAGCCAGAGTTACAGGCAGAGTCACAGGCTATCCCACCAAGTTGACGAGTGTGGAAAAGCGCAGGGCGGCACTGGGGAATCACAAAATGAGCCAGAGCCACAGGCACGGGCACAGGCACAGGCCAGCCCACCATGTTCATAAGTCTGGTAAAGCGCAGGGAAGGCCTGAAGCGGCGTATGCCCTTAGGAAAGGTCGAGTTGTAGTAGACAGTCGTGGTGAAGCAAGCATGTGTGGTGCTGTTGAAATCAAACGCTGCAGGGTGATGATCGGAGGGAGAGGCGGCAGCAGAAGGTGGAAGAAAGGGGAGGAAACATGCACGCCGGGTATTACCAGTACCCACTAGCACACACGCCAGTATCACCACCACCACCAGGGAGCCAGCTCAGCGCCATGTCAGCGCCAGATCAGCATGTGAACGCACCATGTTCATGACCTTGGGGAAGCGCACGGCAGACCTGGGCCCCTGGCCAGCTCCCGCATAGGTGGAGTTGAAATAGACGGTGGTGTTGAACTGCTTGGCTGACGTGGTGTTGAAGTCAAAGGCTGCAGGAGGTGAAGAGAGAAGAAAGGGAAGGGGGGGAGGAGAGCAAGAGAGAGAGCATAGGAGGAGTAAAGGAGACGGTGGTGCTGAATCGCGTGGCACTGGTGGTGCTGAAGTCAAAAGCTGCGGGCGGGGGATAAGGGAGGAAGGGGGGATGGGGGAAAAAGGGAGCATAGCAGGAGTTAAAATAGACGGTGGTGTTGAAGCGCGTGGGGTGGCAGTGGAGGTGTTAAAGTAAAACGCTGCGGGGGGTTGGGGGAAAAGATAGGAGGAGTTGTGATAAACGGTGGTGTTGAAGTCAAAAGCTGCAGGGGGGGGCGGCGAAAGGGGAAAAAGGGGGAGAGGGGGGTGTAATTCAAACGCTGCAGCGCGGGTGATGGGCATGCAGAGGGAGGTGATGGGCATGCATAGGGAGGTGATGGGCATGCAGAGGGAGGTGAAAGTGGGGACGTGACTTTTGAGTCGACTCAAAGGGAGGTGAAAGTGGGGAAGGGGACACGGGAGGAGATCAAAGGATGAGTATGATGGACTGCGGTGTTGGACATAAGTGCTAGGAGGAAGGGGAAGGAAGGTGGTGGCGTTGAGGGGGGGAGGAAAGGGTGTGGAGGATAGCCGAAAGGAAAGGAGGAATTATTCTAAACAATGGCGTTGAAAAGAGTGTGAGAGGCGGTGAAGACATCAAACGCGTACCTCCGGCATACTCGTTGCTGGTGGCATCCCCGCCATAGAGTGCTGTCTGTGCCTGGTAAAACCCATTGTACAGCTCGTTGTCGATCACACGCAATTGTGTTTTCTCCCACCAACCACCCACCCCCAAACCCCCCATCTCCCACCCCCAAACCCCCCATCTCCCACCCCCAAACCCCCCATCTCCCACCCCCAAACCCCCCATCTCCCACCCCCAAACCCCCCATCTCCCCACCCCCAACCCCCTCATCTCCCACCCTCAACCCTTCCATCTCCCACCAACCACCGACCCCCAACCCCCCATACATACCTCCGGCATACTCGTTGCTGGTAGCGTCCCCCCCATAGAGAGCCGTCTGTGCCTGGTAAAACCCGTTGTACAACTCGTTGTCGATTGCTGCTGTGTTTGCTCGCCACAGCGGCGAGGTGGGCACACATGACAGCTCTGCAGTATTCGAGGGAAGGAATGTGGGGCGGGGAGAAGAGGCAACAGCGTGAAAAAACGGGGAGATTTGCACCGGGAGGACAGCCCTTGTGCACCGGGAGGACAGCCCATGATGAGACAATGCACACACCACACAGACCGATGCACACGGCTCACACCACACAGACCGATGCACACGGCTCACACCACACAGACCGATGCACACGGCTCACACCACACAGACCGATGCACACGGCTCACATCACATCACATCTCACACACGGAGCAACTCACGCAGGGGTTCTTTAGTGAAGCCGCCGAAGGAGAAATTGAGGGGCGTCTGCAGCACGGTTGGAGAAGAGCAGTTGGGCTGCAGCAGGTAGAGCTTGCTGGGGTCGTCTGTGATGGGCGTCAACGCCGGCTCGATGATCAGCGTCAGCGTCAGAGACGCGTTCGTGCCCTGCCATGGGGATGGGAGGGGGGGACAGTTGCATGGTTGGGGCACATCAGGGAACGAGCAGTGCAGTTGGGCTGCAGCAGGTAGAGCTTGCTGGGGTCGTCTGTGATGGGCGTCAACGCCGGCTCGATGAATCAGCGTCAGTGTGAGAGACGCGTTCGTGCCCTGCCGTGGGGATGGGGTGGAAGGGGGGGGGGACAGTAGAATGTATGATGGCCCTCAGAGGCCGAGGCCTGAGCAGTTGGGCTGCTGCAGGTGCAGCAGGTGGAGCTTGGGGTCGTCTGAGATGGGCGTCAAGGCTGGCTTGATGATCAGCGTCAGTGTGAGAGACGCGTTCGTGCCCTGCCGTGGGGATGGGGTGGGGTGGGGGGGGCACATGTGGGGGGGGGGACATGTGGGGGGATAGCGTCAGGGAGAATACCTTCCAGGCGCCTCAGAGATCGAGCAGTTGGGCTGCATAAGGTATATAGAGCTTGGGGTGGTTAGGGGCAGGGGCACACGTGAAGCTGTTGAAGTTGTAGCTGTAGGGAGCAAAGAACCCACCCACCAGCTCGAGAGTAGTGATGTTGTAGGGGCATGGAACGTGAGAGAGTGCAAGTGCAGGAGAGAACGCAGGAGGAAACGCACCAGCTCGAGCGTAGCGAAATTGTAGAGGTAAGGAGCGAGAGACGCAGTTCCATTGTACTCGATCGTGCTGCCGGGAAGAGGGGGGGGAGGAGCTGCGGGCGCAGCAGGCGCCGCGGGCGGCGGAGTGGGCGGCGCGGAGCTGGAGCTACCCGTGGAGATGTTGACACCTGGCATGGTCTGCCATGCCTTGAGGTCGAAGGGGCTTGTTAGATACGCGCCCATGGCTGCAGGGGCGTCATGGGGAAGGGGAAGAAAAAGAGCGGCGCAGTGCTTAGAGAAGGGCAAGGCACGCAGGATGATTCTGGCCCACGTAGAGGAAACTAGGCAGCTGGGCGTGACTGAGTTTTTGAGGCGTCTCAAAAACACCCTCACTTCACCTGGCCCACGTAGAGGAAACTAGGCACCTGGGCGTGACTGTTTGATATTCTTGAGGCGCCTCACACACACATGCACTCACCGTTGGCAAGGGTCTGGTTCATACCCGTGTAGAGGAAAGCCAGGCAGCCGCGTGTGATCGGTTAATGTTCTTGAGGCACCTCACACACGCATACACGCACTCACCGTTGGCAAGCGTCTGGTTCTGGCCCGTGTAGAGGAAAATGGCCGGGCATGATTGGTTGAGGTTTGATGCTGAGCGGCAGGAGGCGTCTGGCAGGCCCGGATAATTATTTTGCTGCGTTAGGACAGCCCGAAAGTACTGGGTGGGCACCTGAAAGTCAGAAGCGAGGGTAAGGACAGGATGATAAGGAGAAAGTGGGAGAGGAGGAGAGAGTGGGGAGAGTAGAATGAGAGGGGGTACACACTCAACGAGTTTCCTAGCCTCTCACCCGGACACTCGGGCTGCACCAAGGGCGGGAAAATGTACGGGCTAAGCACGGCGAACAAAACGCGATCTGCTTGTTGTTTCAACACTGCGAGGCGCACGTGTGCTCAATCGCGTTCCGAGGCAAGTGCGACTAGCTTGTTGAAGCACCCCCGAAGGGACCATGGCCCGGTACACGTATCAGCTAGGCATGGCGCAGGCGTATCTGCTGCGTATCTGCTGCGGGCCACACATCTGCTCCCTCGCCTCTCAGGGCAAGCGCGACGCGGCGACTAACTAGCCGTTAACGGCTCACCTGGACCATGGCGGGGTACATGTACGGGTTCGGCACGGCGCAGAAGGCGGTCTGCTTGTTGTTGGAATACTGCGGGCCGCACGTCTGCTGACTAGGATCGGGGCACGAGTCCGTGTTGTTCTGCCCCGTGGCCGTGCAGATGCAGCCGCAGCGGTAGTCCGGGCCGCTGAGGATGGCGTTGATGGCAATCTCGAGGACCTTGAGCAGCACGCACATGAGGATGGGCATGGACACCAGGCAGCAGTTGGTTCCCCAGTTGCGTTTCTGGAGGCGAGAGGGGGAGACAAGAAGGAAAAGGAGGATTGAGGAGGCTCAAACGGCAATCTCGAGGACCGTCTGCTGACTAGGATCGGAGCACGAGTCCGTGTTGTTCTGCCCCGTGGCCGTGCAGATGCAACCGCAGCGGTAGTCCGGGCCGCTGAGGATTGCGTTGATGGCGATTTCGAGGACCTTGAGCAGCACGCACATGAGGATGGGCATGGACACCAGGCAGCAGTTGGTTCCCCAGTTGCGCTTCTGGAGGCGTGGGGGAAGATAAGTCGCAGATAGAATCTTGAAAAGGTCCAATAACCGACTGCCGGACATTGAGGGCTAGGGTTACTGAGGATTAACAGGTCCAGAGGCAGAGAAATGGGAGAGACGAAGCCACGATGAACCTTACGGCGACGAAAAGAATCATGCAGTCAAAAAGGGGCTTTGGAGTTAAGGCATGGAAATGGTACCTGAAGTATACTAACAGAACCCTGTTTCCGTTGCCTATTGTATTCTACAGAATCTTCAATTACTTCCCAATGTCAGCCCTAGCCGCAGCCGCGTCTAGCGGTGTATTACCTGAAACGTAACATTTTTCCGCAAAAGCGCATTCGCTTGAGTGTTAAAAGTAGTACGAAGTCGCACTCGGCGCTGCTCTTGTTCCTTGTCAGCCTCAAGTTCCTGCTCATTTACAGGAACACTTTCTTCGCCGTCTCTTTTGCTCCCGCCGTTCTCCTGATCGGCCATTTCAACAGAGCTCTATTATTTGTTGATCGTAAACGATAAAGTAGAACTAACGAGGGCAAGAAGCAGAAACAGGCAAGTAATAGTAAGTTTAGTCCTCCCTGTTGTTCAAGTTCCAAGACAAGGTGTGAGAGGAGGTTCCGTCGTTAGCTAACTAGACACCGAAACTCCTCCCTTGAGACTGAGGAACCAAGAGAGGAAAGAGTAGGACAGCGACATGCAAGGAGGCAAGCTTTTCGGCATGCGGTGCAGTTTGAAATACCGAACGTACGGTCGTACGCTTTCCTTTGAGAAAAGTGTCTAACAAAGGCCGTCCAAGTTCATGGAGTCATTTGATTCGCTGTACGGGTTCGATAGATGGGACGGGACAACTGGGGTGCGTGGTTGCTGTGTGGTGGCGAAGTTTTTTCGTTTTGCTGGAAGGAGTCGGCTTGAATGGATCAGGAAGAGCAGCGAGGCAACTGTGTGGTGGTGTACCGTGCAGGGAAGGTCTGAACTGAAAGTGCGCCGTGCTTGGCGAAACTTGGTTTGGGTGGTTCTGGGTTGACCGTTCACGATTGTGTGGGCATGCACCTTTTTTGTGAGGTGACTTGGCAACCCGAAAGGGACAGATTATGATGTCAGCAAAGGGAGTGTGACAGTTTTGTGTCTGAGGTGGCTTCGCATCGGTGGTCACTGACGTATGATCCGAAGCAACGAGGAAGTCCGTCCACTTCGAACTTTTGTCTGCGGGGTGTTGACCCTGCTCTGCTCATTGTATAGCCAACGGGCGGCTACCAATTGCTGTACAGTATCTTCTGGCTGTCTGTACACCAAGTCCTCGCCAACTTCACTAGGGCCAATTTCACCCCCCTGTGTATTCGTTTTACATTCACCCCAATTTAAGGGCTTTTTCAAACAATCTGGCTTTAAGGAGACCAAAGACCTGGACTGCGCACATTAGTCAGCGGAAAAACAAAAGAAACATGGTCGCAGCCGAAACATCAGAAACATTCAGTCTTTGCGTTGCAATCTCAACGTCAGAAGGGGCAAACATCGAAACGTCACAATGCCTCGGATAGCCTCTAGTTCGTGGGTGTCTTACCCCCTATAGCCAGATAAGGTCAGTTTGGCTTTAAGGAAGAACTGACGGGGCGTGAAATTGGCGAGGACTGTGTGTAAAAGATACGTACACAGACTTTCGCGAGAAACGAAAAGATTCCGCGCGTCGTACCGCATCGCGGTGCAAATGTGTGGTGCAGTTTTTTCTTCACGCCCAACCAGACCACCCTGACAGCACATTTTGGAGAACGGTTTCATCTGTCAGAGTCCGTTTCATCTCCGCACCCCTTTCTCATGAACTGCCCAGTCATCCTATAGCTGAGTTCCTCTCGCCACTAGTCTCTCTCCTGACCGTTCCTTCCATCTCCTCCAGCTTTCTCTCCCTCACCTCACCTCTATCTCCGAAAATTTCAGCTTTATTTCTTCCACCCGTCTCAGATAGCCCGCGCAAGCAAACGTCTTTCAGAGGCTCGGCCTGCTAGCAATACATATCTGAGGCCCCGAGTCCGTGGGGAAGCTCTGAATGCCATTGTTGCTAAACTTGAGGCGGAGTTCGGGGTTTTCGTTCTGGTAGTCCGATATGGGGCAATCAGAGAAAGATGGAGAGGCTGATCATTCGACGACGCGTTTGCGCGGATACGCTCTCTGGAATCTGCAGTTCAAGGCACTTATGATCAAGAACGCCTTGGTCGCATGGCGAAATAAAACGGCTACTTTCCTCCAACTCTTCGCGTCGTTCTTTTTCATCTTCCTTATCTTCGCTGTAAACGAGGCCCTTAAAGCCGCCATAAAAGACAAGACCGAGTACAAAAACATCTACACTCCGGTCCCGAAAGTCATTCCTGGTATTCGGTCTTGCGAGAGCGCGTTTTATATCAAGCCTCCGTGCTACGATTTTGTATGGAGCGGGAATAACAGCGCGGTCGTCACATCGATCGTGAAAAACATCACCCTGAACAATCCGGGCCGTCCAATCAATTTCGACACCCAGGTAAATTACCGGGACGCGTTCAGCAGTGGACCGTTGCGTGCGTTGCGTACGTGACGGTTGCGAACCTCAGCGTCGTTTCCCCATTCTCCGTGTTCATGATGTCCTTTTCCGGCATTCTCTATGTCGCCAATGACTGATGAGGCGCCTCAAAAGTAACCTCTGCTTCGTTCCCCCGTTGTCCGTGTTCCTACTGTTCCGTCATTCTATCTGTCACCAATGTCCCTTGTATAACCCATTCACATCCGCTCGTCAGATCAAGGGCTTCGCAACCCCAGCTGACGTGGACGCGTGGCTGCTGGCGAACCCGTACACGACGACCGGCGCGCTGCACTTCGCCTTCACGCCGTCCGGCGCGTTAGGCTACGGCATTCAAACGAACGCCACCGTTAAGAGCCAGCGCGGGCAATTCGAGGACGCGACGTTCGACTATCAGGTGCCGCTTCAGGCGGCGGCGGAGCGCGAGATCGCGCGTTACATCGCGCAGGACTGGACGCTGACGTGGACGCCGTCGTACGCGGAGTTCGCGCACCCGGCCATCAGCGCGTTCTCCGCCGTCGGATCCGCCGGCGCAACGTTCCTCTTCGCCGCGGCCATGTTCAGCTTCGTCACGCAAGCGAGCAACCTCGTAACGGAGCGCGAGCTAAAACTCCGTCAGGCCATGTCCACCATGGGACTCATGGATTCAGTCTTCTGGCTCACATGGTTCCTATGGGAGTTTCTCCTCGCAATCATCTCCTGTATCCTCCTCGTGTGCTTCGGCATGATGTTTCAATTCGATTTCTTCCTACACAACGCATTCCTCGTCCTCTTCCTCATGTTCTTCCTCTTCTGGCTCTCCATGACCTCCCTCGCCTTCTTCGTCTCCACCTTTCTCCGCAAGGCCTCCACAGCCAACACCGTCGGGTTCTTTATCTTCATTATAGGCTTCGTGCTGCAGCTGATCGTGCTGTTCGGGGTTCCGTACTCTAAGGAGTACAGCAACGGCCTCAGGATCATCTTTAATCTCTTCCCGCCTGATCTCCTAGCTATAGGGCTGAAATACTTGGGAGACGCCACAGCCACTCCCGAGGATCCCGGGATTAAGCTGTCCACGATTGGCCAGTGCTCTCCGCGAAGCCCGGACTGCGTGATGACGATGGCGGGGATCTACGTCTGGCTGCTCGTCCTGACGATAGTCTATTTCATCCTGGCCGTCTATTTGGACAACGTTCTCCCGGACGTGAACGGCATCCGAAAGCCCTGCTTCTTCTTCCTCTACCCTTCCTTCTGGACCGGCCGAGCCTCGGGAGGGGAGCATGGAGGACTCTTCTCGTGCTTCGGCAGGAAGGTTCCTGAGCTGGATCCGAACGACCGCGCTGACGACGCTGACGTCATCGAGGAAGAGGAGAAGGTGAAGGCAGCGGCAGCAGCAGCGGGAGGGGGGGAAGCTGCCAACGTGTCAGTGTCCGTTCGCGGCCTGGTGAAGACGTTCCCCGGGCGTACGGAGATGAAACGGTGCTGCGTGATTAAGAAGTCACCGGCGTTTCATGCGGTGAAGGGGTCGTGGTTCGGCGTGGAGAAGGACAAGCTGTTCTGCCTGCTGGGACCCAATGGCGCCGGGAAGAGTACCACCATTCACTGCCTCACAGGCATCATCCCCACCACTGCTGGCGACGGTAAGGGCAATGATTACAATCAATATTATGATCAGATTGTCGTGGTTCAGTGTGGTGAAGGACAAGGCGTTCTGTCCGCTGGGCCCCAATGAAGCGGGGGAGGGTGCGATCATCTACTGCCTCACCTGCATCATTCCCACCGCTGCTGGCGTTTCAGGCGTCTCAGTAATGGCAGGCACGATGCAGCTAAGAAGTGCTAAACAGCATTGGAAACACCATTCTCTCTCACGCCGTCCAACTCCCACCACCCCACTTCACTTTTGCCACCCCTTCCCTTCCCCTGTCATCCTCAAAACCAGCGCTGGTGCTGGGGTCGTCCATCCGCGACCCAGGCAGAATGGCGCGCATACGCGGCAGCATGGGCGTGTGTCCGCAGTTGGACATCCTCTGGAACCTCCCTCCCCCTCTTTTCCCTCCCCAACCCCCCTCTTCTCCCCCCGCATCCCCTCAGCTCTTGTCCTGGGGTCCTCCATCCGCGACCCAGGCAGCATGGCGCGCATACGGGGCATCATGGGCGTGTGCCCGCAGTTTGACATCCTGTGGGCCCTTTTTTTCCAACCCAACCCCCTTCACCACCTCATTACCCAACCCAACCCCGCCTTCTCTCCCTCTTTTCGCATTCCAACCCCCCTTCTTTCCCCGCATCCCCTCAGCACTTGTCCTGGGTTCGTCCATCCGCGACCCAGGCAGCATGGCGCGCATACGGGGCATCATGGGCGTGTGCCCGCAGTTTGACATCCTGTGGGACCGCCTGTCGGGCGCGGAGCACCTCTACCTCTTCGCGCGCATCAAGGGGCTGCCCCCCGCGCACACGCACAAGGAGGTCGCGACCCTGCTGGAGGAGGTGCGGCTCACTGAGGCCCAGAAGATGCGCACGCGTGCGTACAGCGGCGGCATGAAGAGGAGACTGTCGGTGGCCGTGGCTCTGATTGGAGACCCCAAGGTTGTCTACCTCGACGAGCCGGTGAGTTGGAGACCCCAAGGTTGTCTACCTTGACGAGCCGGTGAGTTGGAGACCCCAAGGTTGTCTACCTTGACGAGCCAGTGAGTTGGAGACCCCAAGGTTGTCTACCTTGACGAGCCGGTGAGTTGGAGACCCCAAGGTTGTCTACCTTGACGAGCCGGTGAGTTGGAGACCCCAAGGTTGTCTACCTTGACGAGCCGGTGAGTTGGAGACCCCAAGGTTGTCTACCTTGACGAGCCGGTGAGTTGGAGACCCCAAGGTTGTCTACCTTGACGAGCCGGTGAGTTGGAGACCCCAAGGTTGTCTACCTTGACGAGCCGGTGAGTTGGAGACCCCAAGGTTGTCTACCTTG